TGTAAAAATAAAGCTTGAATATAACGTATAAACACCTTTGAGTAAATCTCATTTCACTCACTCTTAAAATACCAAAAATATATAGTAATATACAAAATATTCGCCACATCAGTTGGCCGTAATAAAAAACAAAGATTCTTTGGTAAATCAACTAAAATAAAAGCTACCGTTGAAATTGGGAACTCAGGAGAATTGACTGGATTCGGTTTAGGATTTTGGGACCTTATCTACTAGCTACACACACGCGTACATTTTTATATATATGTAGATTTTTGAACAACATTTTAGAATTCTTTATAGTAAACGTCTTAATTGCACAGTAAATGTCTTTAAAATTCGATTGCGTCGATGACAAGGAATTTTGTTCAACTTTGGCTTCAATGTTCCTGGGACTGGCATCCATTTCATCCATTCCATCCTCTAAAACGTTCAGCGTTTTGACTTGGTTTCTTGGCAAGCTGTTGTTGGGTCGAATGGCAAGTGGCTAGGCTTGGGATTAGAATTAGAATTAGGTGTAATCAGGGGCAAGTGTTTCTTCTCCGCTTCATATTAAAAGCTAACAACGAATTCGAGAGTTTCCGAGATTCCTTAAGAGCATATGTATGTGAGTATTCTCTAGGTCACTGGTTGCAAATGTCCGTGGGTGAGTATTTGTGGTAAATGGTGTATTGCAGTGGGAGTTGGGTGAGAAGCATCCGATCCTCAGCATTGGGACGGAATGCGTATGCCCTGTGTTATCGAGTTCTCCAGCACGATGTGGCAGTCGTCCAGCGGCTCCAGGATTTGGATGAGAAAAGTGAGAAGATTGCGGCGCCGCAGGAAGCTCTCCTCCTCGTACATCTCATGAGTAACCTTGGTCAGAGCCATTGGCTTTATGAGCCGCGTGAGAAGGTGCTCCCGCAGGCTAAGACAGATCAGCAGCTGGAATTTACCATCCTTGCCGAGCGCCGTGCCGTTGATCTCGTCCATCAGTTGCACGTACAGCCGCCAAATGCTGGAGATCTCACGGCGCTGCAAACTGTTTCCGCCGCCTCCGCTTCCATTGCTGAGGGAGGAGTCCAAACTAGAGGCTGAGTCCTCCAGTTCCAGCTGCAGATTTTGTTCAAACAGCTCTTTGATCTTGGCTGCAAAAGGTAAAAGGAAATGATTAGCAGGATTCAAATATTTAAGGTCTTGGTAAGTAATCAAAATTTTCAATAATCTCTATAATAGCACTGGCTTTAAATAGACAAAATCCACCAGAGACGTAAGTTTGGGTTTTCATTGCAAATGAATTCCCTGATTGTTAAGATAAAGGTATGAAATGAATTTAGTTTTTTAGGAGTGCATGTTTTATGGTTGACGGATCTAGAATTTTAGCTCTATGTTACCAATCCATTTAACAAGTATATGAACGTTAAATAACATTCTTTTTCTAGTGAAATAAGACAAAAAAGGGTCAAATAGGTTAATTTTTCCCCAAAAAAATGGCACCATAGAAATAATGTTAAGTGTTTGGAGAATTTTAAATTTGTAGCGCAGAGCATATATGTAAATGTAGCTTTTCCAGACTCCAAATAATCTTAGTCAATTTAAAAACATTTAAAAATTCCCCTTACTGAAATAGTCCCAAATGTAAAGATTCCGTCCAAAGAACCGCGCCGACCGAAAGCCGCAAAGGAAGACCTGCTCCAGGCACTTGACCAGTCCATCGTCGCCGCACAGCAGGTTGGTCAGCGTGCCCACATCCCGGTCTCGGCTGGGTTTGTAGTGCCACTTGACCAGGACGTTGACGCAGTTGCCCAGTTGGTGTTGAATTTCCGAGGGAGCCAGTGACTCCTGGCGCTGAACACTGGGACTCCTTGTTCGTGGCGGCGTGCGGGTATCCGCTCCTGGGACCAGCTCGGCGTTCTTCACGCTCGTCGAAACCCGTTGGCCCACCAGCAGGCGTTCCGTGGAATCGTCATCTACGCCGCGGCCCAGCCAACGGCCACAGGGGAATCTTTTTTTTTTTTTGGGGGGGGAAAGCAAAATTATATTACACACGGCGAACCCGGGTTGCTGCTCAGCTTACTTGTAGGTGTGGCCGGTGACCTCATTGCGCATCACCACCTGCTCCACCAGCCACTTGTGGCTGGGTCCCGAGTTGTCATGACCAATGCGCATGGTTGTCAGTAGGCCAAGGTTCTTGTACTGCAAAAGGAAGGGCCTTGGATTAGTTGCTAGGAGGGAATTTGGAGTAGGGCAACCCTCACTTGAACTTTTTTGTTTACTTAATTTTTAACTATATAATAGCAAGACAAACAAATTGGCCAATTCACTAAAATATAATATTTTTTTGAGCTGCAAAAGGGCTTAGCGCCTTAATTAAGTAATTTTCTTTCACACCAAGGGCGTAACTTACATGGAAGATGAATTCCAGAGAGCCCTTGGGGACCGGCACTCGTTGTGTCTCATTCATGGTGCCCGAGACCATGATCCAAACGTTGCTGGAGGTGTGGTAGGAGCCATACTTGCGGGAGGGGAAGATCACGACGCGGTAGGGCAGCTCTGTGGGCGGGAAAGGGAAGCGAACCAAATGATGGCTTATGGGCAAGCTTTAGGGACTGCTAGCGTAACCTACTCGTCGTGGGGTAGATATTGGTGAAGCTAAAGTAGTCCACCGTATTGAGTGTGAGCAGATGGTAGAGGAACTGCTCCTTCTCCTCCTCGCAGCGCAGAAAGGCCGAGCGCTTGTACAGCGATCGCAGCAGGGCCTCGTCGGAGAGCAAGGTACGAAAATGCCTGGACAGCAGCTTCTTCTCCAGCGATAGACGCACCCAAGCACGGGTGTAGCCAATATGCGTCTTGATATCCGCCATGGCCAGCACGTTTCTACGGGGATAAGATCTCTTTGTAATATATATAAGCTTTGGTTTTTAGTGTCTCTACTCACTTTACATCGAACTCTAGGGATTCGGGTAATGGACACAGCTGCTCCAGGCCCACGAATTTATTGCGATCCCGCGACCGACTGCGATTTGGACTGGGCGGACTGTCAAAGTCCGTTTGGAATGTGGAGAGATCTGACAAGGGACAATTTTAAGGCTTACAATTTGAAAAGGAAGACCAAACTTCTTCACTCACAATCCATGCGCTTGCGCATAGCATTCCAGGCCAATGCTGGCGAGGCTGTGGCAATGGTCATCTTGTTGCCCGGACTGCTGGACACCTGTGGCGTCTGTTCCGCTCCCGAACTATCGCCAGCTCCCCTGGTCTCCTGCATCTCGAGGTAGGCCTGTAGATGCGCCCACAGGGCTGACTTGCCCTGTTTGTTTTGCAGGCCATGCGACCAGATCTTCTCCAGCAGATCACACATGCTGGCTATCAGGGTATTCTCCTCGATGCCATCGCCTTTGAGACCCAAGGCCACTGCCTCATTGCCCAGTTTCTCGAGCAGCATGCGGTTGGTCTTCGATTTGATGTCCTACAATGATGTGATAGGAATTAGAACAGTTTCAATCCAAAATCAAGAAGCTTACCTTCAGCAGTCGCTCCACAAACGTCCAATTGGCCTGGGCTATCAAGGCCGGACTCACATCCGCTGTGGTCAGGTTGGCCGAGAGTCGATTGATGGCATTCGAGCCGGGCTTCTGGTCCAACGAGATCTCCCTGGCCCGCCACTTATTGCCGTTCTTCACCCGCCGCAGGCTGTTGCCTCTGTTAAGGATGCGGATGCGGTTGCGGAATCGGAGGCGGATTCGGATACGGATACGGTTTTTGGTTGAGGTTTTTTGTTGGTTGATGGAGGTTAGCGCGGATGAGTTTGAAGTTTCGGTTTGAGTTTAGTTTGAATTTCGAACGAGAATAAAGAGACAGCGGATTAGTGGGAATTTCGAAGGGGGCTCGAGGATGGGCTGGTGGATATGGATGTGGATGGATGACCAGGTGGAGTAGGATTAGCAGGCGGTGAGCTGTGGGCAGTGCATGCGGTGCAATTTACGGCGGGAAGGGGGAACGAACGAAACAAAACAAAACAAAACAAAGAGTCTCGGTTAACGATTGGAGAATGCTGAATTTATTGTTAATTGGTATGCACTAAAAGAAAACAATACGAGTAGAAATAAAAATATATGCTACCAACGGAAGTGAGTATCCAGTGGAGAAGGCGCTATTTGATTCGATTTGAGCCAATTTGAGCTAACAAAAGGTACACATGAGATACATCTACGTACAACTAAGTGTCTATGGTATCTATAATTAATATTTACGTAATATCAAACGTTTGCCATCCCTTTGCGGGGCTAAGGTACATTTCTCCCCCGATATTTGGGGACTCTTGTTATTGGATGGGTGCGGGGGTTAGGGGATAGGGACTGGTGTTCGATCTTAAAGCAGGACGTGCTCTATACGACTAACTATATAAACAGAGGGAACTGAGGGCAACTACCTCGAGGCGCACTCCTGATTGAGAACACCCTTCTCGAGCAGTGGAAAACTGCGGAAGTAGGCCGCCCGGTTGGCCAGAATTTCGCTGGGTGGCGTCACTTCGATGTCGATGCAGTTGAGCCGCTTCTCAAAGCCCTGTTGCGAGTCCTGGCTGAGCACACACGGCTCATAGCTGGTGGCCGCGATCATGTTCTCCCCGTGACGTCGCCTGAAATGGAATAGCATAACAGAGAAATACATTAAAAATACATTCTCAACATGGTTTTATAATAAACATGAATAATTAAAATACTGATTAAAAAAAACAAAGGAGAAATGAGGAACAGTTGACGCAAAACTATTAAATTAAAGAGCTGGAATATTTATAATTTATTATAACTAGATGACACTCTGAGAACATGTCAATCATGTTAATCAGTACAAATTTTAATTGGTTATATTGATGTAATATTTTTTATAAATATAAATACTATTAAATAATCCTATGTTCGTGGGCTATTTTAATTTACTTAAATAAAAATATTTAAACTTGATGGCACTCTGAAAATCATGTCACTCCACTATATTAAACCCCAAATGTAAGTCAACCAAAAACGACATAGTATGTACGTTATCCAAATTTTAGTGTTGCTTGTCATTGTGATTTTCGTGATTGGTGATATAATCTATAAGGAAACCAGCCCACTTCCCACTAACATGTCGAACTCATCTCTTAAGGATGTTAAGCGAGTGAAGAGGGAGTAAGTTAATAACAGAATTCTAACGCCAGGTACTAATTATCGTTAGATTCTTCAACATGCGACCTGCTCAATATATGCGCAAAAAAAAGGGGAAAGGGGGAAGTTGGTACAAGTGGAAGCCGAAAAGAAGACGACGTCGTAATCGTGGTGGTAGAAGTAATACTAGAGGCTTAACTAATAGTGAAAATGTTTTAAGTATTCCGTTCGTGATATATTTTATGTTATTTGGACTATTATAAAAATATATAACGTTTTACTACTCATTTTTACACTTACCTCAGTAGTTTAACGCGCTGATCGAACAGCTGAAGCTGCTCGTCAGGCTGCGACTCCCACATGGCCAGGATCTTGTTGTCGATCAGCGTGGCGAACATTTGAGATTCAAGAAAGCGCGACAGGAAGGCGCGATGGTGCTCCGGCTGATCGGACAGGAACGAGGACTTGTCAAAGTTCTGCAGCGTTTCACGGTTCGAGATCCACTCGTCACGCGCTTGATTTGGATAGATCACAAAGTACTCGTAGGCGTGGAACATGTGCACGAATCGATTGAGGAAGATCTCTCGCACCGAGTTATTGATGCGCAGGTCCTGGTAGTACTGATCCACGGGGCTCAGCTTTTGTTTCTCACCACGGCGAGCGGTGACTGGCATTGTGGCGTCCACTGCGTCCACGTCGTGGTATATGCCGACCGGTGAGGAAGACAGCGAGACTGTGGGACTGCCCACAGGAGAGCCAGCTCCCCTTATACCTCCCTTCCTGCGCAAAAAGTCGGCGATGCGTGGCACGTGATCGATCCTCGAGGGATGTGCAATCAGCGGTTGGTAGTCCACGACACCACCGCCTGGCGATCCCGACAGCGTATAGACCGTCTCCTGTAGCTGTTGAAAACGCTCCTTGCTACGGCGAGCAGCCTGCAAGCCAGTGGGCAAAGTGCAGCTGGAGATCATGGCATCCACTCCTCCTGGTCCGCCGCCACCATTGCCGCCCGGCCCTCCTCCAGCTCCCCTGCCTACATAGCCGTTCCTAAAGCTGGGCTCCTGGTCGCGGTCCCGCTCAATCTCGAACTTGTCCAGCACCGAACCAATCTCGGCCATAAAGTCCAGCTTGTGTGGAAAGACTGGAAGCTCCTCGGGCAGCTGGATGTGCTTCTTGTCGATATCCACAAAGCAGAGCGTTGCCTCGCTGCCGATCTTGTGAGCAGCCTCGCATTCGGCATGCAGTCCCATCACAAAGGGCACTGGTGCATCCAGGAAGTGGTGCAGGGCAGCTGGTAGTATAGGAGCATAGACATGTGGCCACACAAACGGAAACAACAGCGAAGTAATGCACTCGCCCACGATCATAAGTCTTTGGTAGTCTACAAATACGAATACATAATACATGTTATTTCCCTTTACATATTGTTTAAAACTCCTACCTGTGGACCGCAGCAGGACCTGATTCTCTAGAAGGACGCAAGTCAGCAGCTGTATAACACACTCCACGCCCAGGTACTTGAAAAGCAGACGTAGCGGGAAGTCGAGCAGGGGCAGCTCGGTGGCCAGAAGTGGGCGTTGAAGGATCAGTGCAATGGCGGGCAGATGCGGCTCTGTGGGCGGCAGGTAAACGCGGATGGACTTGCCCGGCTGCGGCAGCATCACCTCATAGAGTATGTTGTACACATAGGACTCCAAACTTATGCCAGCACCAGGCTGACGGGGAAGACATCTAGGATGTAGGAGACAAATAAGTATCAGTGAAAATGTTATTATATTTATAAGTGAGGTCACTCACCTGTAGAGATTCTTGAGAAACATCTGGGCGGCAAAGGCGTAGGGAGCCTGGCAAATCAGCGTGATGCTCTTGGCCACGTACAGCTTGTCCTTGTTGATGTCGTAGTAGCTTTGTGCGGACTGCGGCGCCTGGCCGGCCACCTTAAAGTGCCTCGGCAGTGAGCGACTGACCGGGCCATCCTGCTTCACCCGGCTGAGCGAGTGCGTCTGCTGGCCATTGGACAGCTCTGTGATGAACATGCTCTGCAGCGTGTGAATGGCCCCGCAAATGTTCCTGTTACGGATCTCCTCGTAGAACACCAGGCTGAATCCATAGCACCGCTTTCCATCCTCCCGCGTGGTGGCAAACGAATGGAATCTGGGCTCGATGTTATGCTTCTGGGTGCGGAAACGCAGGCCCTGCGGCAGGGAGAGCTGTGTGGAAGACAAAAGGGAGGGCAGGGTGACTACTTAGTCTCAAGTGGCGGGCATAAATAAAATCCATTCATTAGAACACATGTGCCCAGATACCCGAGATAAGAGGGTTTAACGGGGTGGGATGACGCGGCCGTAGTCGTGGCATCAATTAAAAGTGCTCCTCTCTCCACTCCCAACTCGTATCAATGAGCTGGCTAGCCAAGCATGAATTTCCACCGAAAGGGCAGCCAATTGAGCTCAATTAGACATGAATATGGATTAGGGTGGGTCGAATACTTTGCATTTTTAACAATTTTCTTTTGATATCTTTTAAGTTATGAAAAATATATTCTACAAAATTAAATTTTAATATAAAAAAGAGAAACATTAAACATGGCTAGCAAAACAAAACGACCTGATTCCAATGACACGTGTTTATCCATCATCTGACCTAATTACACACATTTTTCATCATCTTTTGACACAGAATATGGTATGGAAGATGTTTTTTGGGCTTATGGTGGGTCGATTACTTTAAATGCGAAAGTTTATGCAGTTATGGGGCTATCGTAAATCATTTTTTTTAATATCTTTGGATCTTTAATGAATATTAAAAAAAAAAAAAGTATTTTAAGCTATGAATACACAAAATCAAACAATTTAAAATTTAAATGATTAATTTTGGGCTAATGTTAGCTGGCTATATAATGATAAAAGTTTATCTGACACTATCTAATCGAATTTAACCGACCCACCCTAATACAGACGGATGGGGAATGACCTCCTGATTTACCATGCAAATTCCATGGGCATCGAAGGGGTTCCAGGGCACATTCTCGGGATAATGGGCCAGTGGTTTGCTCTTGTAGGCGCGGTCCAGTGGCGAGCAGTGCAGGTTGTCCCCTGAAAGATAGGGATATTAAGTATAACCAACCGACTCTTGGCAAGCATTCACTTACCCGCAAAGCGATCCGGCTCGAGGCCCGTGTCCAGGTCCAGTCCACATATCACAAAGTAGTCGGCGAAGCGCGAGAACTGCGGATCCGCGTCCCGCTTTAATTGGTTTAGCTCGGATTGGGACTGGGACTGCTCTCCGGGCGAGGTGGGCGATTGGACCTGCTGGCCGGAGGATGGCGGCATCTGGTTGCCACCACTGCCATTTCCACTACCATTCCCGCTGCTGAGCATCAACTTGGACAAACGACTGGCGACGACATTCTCCCGCGTGGTCATCGCTCCTCGTCCTGCTCCTCCTCCTCCTCCTTTTCTCTCTCTTTGTCTTTAATCCGCCAAGTGGGACATCAAACAAAAAGCACTGCCTCCATGTGTTCGTGTGCTGCTTGTGTGTGTATACATGTACCGTTATGCGCTCGCGATTTCGTGCACTTTCCAATTTACACAACCAATCAATTTCCGTCTGCAAAAATACGTTCAAGTGCTATTTTTATTTATTTGTTTTTTATTTTTACTTTTGACGAGAGTGTAGGTGTGCAGGAGAGAGTGTATGCAAAGTTTTCTATGCCAATGTCGTTGCCCACGTCCGTCCACCACCACCAACAACAACAAAAAGGGCAAAAGAAAACACTCTCCTTCTCGCACTCTTCACCCACCTTTCTGCCACACAACTTTGCTGTGACTTTTGGAGCTGATTTCTTTGGAGCCTTAGAAACTGGGTTAAAAACTGGTTGCGTATTTGTTTGGAGCCAGCAACAACAGCAGCTGGACAAATACAAATATATGTGGAGTATTTCCACTGAATTTTTTGGCAAACAAACTACTAGAGGTGGATAAACATCGATTGGTCGGGTGGTTGAGAACTTCGGTGGTTGGGAACTTGGAGTTCATAATAAAAACGTGAAGTAAAAATTAGTTTTTTTTATTTTACTTTTCAATATCATGGGTTTAAGACGAAATTCGAGATTATAATTACCAAGAGGTAAAGCCTTACAATGAACTGAAAGTAAAAAATTAATTTTGAAAGCAAATATAGTTTCGTATTTTTTTTCAACGGTGGTTACAGGAACTTGATCAATTTTATGAAAATTTTTTTTCAACGGTGGTTACAGGAACTTGATCAATTTTATGAAAATTAAATCACTAAATTTATACTTTTGCATCATATAGAAAGACAGAACATTTAGAAATAATGTTAAATTATTGTTATGTTAAATTAAATATACAGGTCGGAGTTAACTTAATATGAAAAAAGTTAAAAATTAAATTGAATACGTGAGTTTTTAAAACTGGTTCTCTAAGAAATTGGTTCTTTTAATACCGCAAAGAGGATGATTATAGCAACGGAACCAGTTCGCAAGCGGTGAGTTGTGGTGGTGGGGAATCAGTACGCAGTCAGCACGGAACTAGTTCTGAACTGGAGCAAAGCGAACGACCTGACGTGAAAAAGTGTATCACATAACAATTCGTATTAATTTGGAACGTAAATTGTGGCCCCGTCGAGACAGGAGTATTGGCTTGGAGCAAAACAAAAACTGGAGGAGTCGTGGTGGTCAGAAGCGAAAGTCAGGGGAATCCAAACGAATCGACATCGACATACCACTACCCCCCACCCCCCATGCGATTGATTGATTGAGAACACGAGACCACGAGTTCTTGGCAAGATGCACTCGTCACTCAACTGGACCTCACGCCTGATCTCGCGCGCCCTGCGCAGCAGTTTCTCCACGCTCCTGGAGACGGCCACGGGAGTCACCAAATCAGGAGGAGCAGGAGCGGGAGCCACCAAATCAGGAGGATCAGGAGCAGCAGCAGGATGCCCTCGACCTCGTTTTGTGTCAGTGGTTTGCGGCTTCGCCAAGGACAACCTGCGACACAAGTACAAACCGGGCAAATACGGCGAGGATTCCTGGTTCAAGGCCTCCACCGAGAGTGCCGATGTGATGGGCGTGGCAGACGGAGTGGGCGGCTGGAGAAGCTATGGCATTGATCCCGGCGAGTTCTCCTCGTTCCTAATGCGGACCTGCGAGCGCCTTGTCCAATGCAGTCACTTTAATCCCCAGCGTCCGGTCAACCTTCTCGCCTACAGCTACTGCGAGCTGATGGAACAGAAGAAACCCATCCTGGGCAGCAGTACAGCCTGTGTGCTGATCCTGAACCGTGAGACGAGCACCGTACACACGGCCAACATCGGCGACAGCGGCTTCATTGTGGTCCGGCAGGGCCAGGTGGTCCACAAGTCGGAGGAGCAGCAGCACTACTTCAACACACCCTTCCAACTATCCCTGCCGCCGCCGGGACATGGTCCGAATGTCCTCAGTGACAGTCCCGAGTCGGCGGACACCATGAGCTTTCCAGTGAGGGACGGCGACGTCATCCTGATTGCCACCGACGGTGTGTTCGACAACGTGCCCGAGGATCTGATGCTGCAGGTGCTCAGCGAGGTGGAGGGCGAACGAGATCCCGTCAAGCTGCAGATGACGGCCAACAGCCTGGCGCTGATGGCGCGCACCTTGTCCCTCAACAGCGAGTTCCTCTCGCCCTTCGCCCTCAGCGCAAGGAGGAATAACATTCAGGCGCGAGGCGGCAAGCCCGATGACATCACCGTTGTCCTGGCCACCGTGGCGATGTGAGAGATGTGTGCGGTGCTCCAGGTGCTCCAGCCCCCCACAAAAACCATCCTCCACCCTAGTGATTAACGTTTACTTGTAGTCCGTACGTGTTTAGTTAGCTTTAGGAGCCTGTTCCGTGGTTCTGTCTACCGTTTAAGCTGCATGTTGAGATTGAGATTGTGGATGAGGACGATGACGATGACGATGACGAGGATGACGACCGAAGACCGACGACCCTTTGAATTGTTAGTTACATATATACGAGCAAAACTCTTTTTCGAAACGACATCCTGGTGAGCAACCCCCGCCTTGATTGTATACATAACCCTCGCTATAAGTAGAGAAATGCGAATTATCTGCCCGGGCGATCTCTGTCGTCAGTGGCAATTCTAATCACTAATCACCCACAAACAATAAACAAGCAACCAACCAAGCGATTGCGAAACAAACCCCGATGCCGATGTCGAGGATCGGGTATACGAGTCCGGGGTCCGGTGTCCGGATGGTGGACCCGTAGCCCAAGTAAAGTGGAGTCGAGTGCAGCTATCTGACTGAGGACTGAAGGATTTAGCCATTTACCCAGGCGAACTGTCTTTAAACAATTTTTGTCGAAATGTACTCATTGAAATTTGCGACCCAAATAAAATTATTCATTGAAAAAAAAAAACAACGAATGCGATCTGTAGTCATTTCGGAAAATAAATTCATTAAAACAATTAATATATGTAAACAATAAAAAATGTATGGAAAACTTAAAATAGAACGTTCTAATTGCCTTAGATTAGCTTCATGGTCGAAAAGATGTAAATTAATAAATACAACAGCGGGAAAATTGATAAATCTTGGTGGAATATACATACTGATTCAATGCGACGTAGCAATCTCAACAAAAGCACATTAAAATAATTTATTTAAATATATTTAACAGGTATTTGTTTTTCTTATCTGGAAGAAATCGATTACGGTTCTGTGACGCAGGTTTACTTTTGTGAACTAAGTCAATAATAATAACAACAAAAGTTTATAAAAAACGCATTCTATTAATTGACACCGATTAGCGCCAGTGTAATATATATTTACACCTGCGGTAGAATTAAAAGGTTTTAAAACAATTAATAAATAAACAAAAGTTGTATTTGGTATGTGTCTGGTGACATAACGTTTAATTTTTAATTAAGGTCCTATTTTTAAAACTTAATAAATTTAAATATATTTTCTAAAATTAAAGTTACAGAGGGGTTTAAGAATGGTACTACTAGTTCAACCGTTAAAACAATTGCTTAAAAATATAAATAAAGCACAATTGATTATATTATTTTAAATAAGTTATTTAAATTTAATAAACTAATAATAATTAGTAGTATCTAAATTTACGATCCATTTTGATTATGTTATGGTATGTTTTTGCATTAGCCATATACCAAACAATTTATCAACTGCGGTCACACTGCAGATAAGGAATCAAAACAAAAGGCGAAAAAAATAGAATTTTTATTTTCATGCGAAATGGGCAAATGTTTTTGGTCTTAAATAAATAATTGCCCGTTGGTTTTGCAACAAAGTCAATATGAAGCTGTACAAGCTGAACACACACACGCGTGGATGCAATAAATCCTACGGTAAGCAAAGTGCTGGATTGTTGTTATTGCGCAAACATATTTCACGGCTGTTTCAACCATACTAACATTTTAAGATGCGGACCTGGTAATGAACTTGAAGGATCATCCCAACGCCAACGTGGGCGATGTGGTCGAGATCTATGCCCCCGACGAGGAGAACGGCACCCACCTGCTGCTCCAGATCACGGAGTTCAATGGGAGCTGCGGCCGGGATGTGATCAGCATCGAGTCGGGCATTGCCAATGCCTTCAAGATGCGTCAGTACTCCAATGTGGTGATGCGCATTGTTAACCCAGCGGATGTGGCCCTGGACTCCATAGAGATCACCTTCAAGGATCAGTACATGGGACGTTCGGAAATGTGGCGTCTCAAAACTTATTTGGTAGGGCAAATGGAATCTTTATAGCCACGATCATTTCTGAAATCTATATAATCCTCCCCCAGACGGACACCTGCGTGTATGTTAACAAGAAGATCGACTACAATGACATGCAAATTCGATGCCAGGTGTACGAGATGTGGTCGCAGGGCGAGCGAGTGGCCAGCGGCGTCATTACGGAGGACACCAAGATTGTCTTTCGGAGCAGCACCTCAATGGTTTATCTTTTCCTGCAAATGTCCTCGGAAATGTGGGACTTTGACATCCATGGAGATCTGTATTTCGAGAAGGCAGTGAATGGTTTTCTCACTGAGCTCTTCCAGAAGTGGAGGAAGTTAAGCTGCAACCATGAGGTCACCATAGTGCTCTTCTCCCGCACCTTCTATGCGGCCAAGTGCTTGGACGAGTTCCCCGAGCACATGCGCGACTGCCTGCAGCAGGACTACAAGGGTCGCTTCTACGAGGACTTCTACCGCGTTGCCATCCAAAATGAGCGCTGCGACGACTGGTGCACGGTGCTAGGACAGCTGCGAAAGCTATTCACCTCCTATCAGGTGGGTTAAGTCTTAATATTTGCTGTATAACCTATATCAACCTATTGTTTTTACGAAAAACAGGCCACAGTGCTGCGCTATCATGAAAGGGAGCACATGAAAATCCCCCCAGCCACCAATTCCTCGGCCACGCAGGGCAACTTCCTGGAGGTGCTGAACATCTCGCTGAACACCTTCGAAAAGCACTACCTGGACAGAACTTTCGATCGCACCGGGCAGCTCTCTGTGGTCATAACCCCGGGCGTGGGTGTATTCTCAGTGGATCGAGAGCTGACCAACATCACCAAGCAGCGCATCATCGACAATGGAGTGGGCAGCGATTTGGTCTGTGTGGGAGAACAGCCGCTGCATGCAGTGCCGCTACTTAAATTCCACAACAAGGACACCACTTTGACCTCCGCCGACGACTACTCCCTGCCCCACTGGATTAACTTGAGCTTCTACTCCACCAACAAGAAGATAGCATATTCAAGCTTTATACCGCGCATCAAGCTGCCACTTTTTGGCTCTCAGCTGACGTTGTACGATGGCGCAGGCGAGGGAGGCGACGGCGAGGAGAACGAGAGTCACTTCCTAAGCTGCAATCAGTCGGAATACAAACATAACTCGCTTTTCGACTACGATGCCTATGACGAGCAAATCTTCCAACCATTGCCCGCCCAGAGTACTTGGTAATGATTGTGTTGTTTAAAGGCTATTTATCATTCTATATATATATATAATTCCTTTTTCCAGCTCCCTGCAGCGCGTGGTGCGAGCCAAGAAAACATCAGTGCCCAGTCTGGAGACGTATGCCTATAGGAACAACGATTGGGAGAATCTCACACCCACACAGATTCCGGCTATGCGGCGCAAAATGTCCGATCCAGACATTCATCATGGCACTTCGGCAATGCTGGCTGCTTTGGTAAGTGCCTCAAACACTAATATGTTTTGGTTTTTCATTAGAAATCTCCAATTTTAGCAACCGGATACGACGAATCTCTCAGAGTCTCTGGCTTCGGAGAAGAACTCCCGTCGAACAATCGTTAGCATTGCTCCCATAGTGCGTCCAGGTCGCGCTCTCATCAATCCCTTTGATCCCTCGCAAGTCACCATCAAGTTGACTTCCAATCGCCGTCGCTGGACGCACATCTTTCCCAAGGGTCCAACCGGAGTGCTTATACAACAGCATCACTATCAAGCGGTGCCAGCGAAAACCACGCAAGCGTGTCAGCAGAGACCATTGCAGCAGATCCAGAACAACAGTCAGACAGGAAGCAATAACAATAACGAGCAGGAGGATTACGGGTGCGAGAATGGAGAGCAGTACGACCGAGTGTCCACCCATTCGCTGCTAAGCAAGTCCGCCTCCTCGCAGAGCTTTGTCATGGGTGAAGAGAAAATTGACTGTAAGTATGGGTACCATTTAAAGATATACATTTGTTGTTAAAATTATCAAATACCCGCAGTCTTCAAGAGGCGTCAGAACTCGCTGATGAATGCCCTGCCCGCCAATGTGCCCAATCTGACGGCCACCCAGGCCAAATCCTATCTCTGGGGAGCAACTGGGGAGCAGGAGTGGACGCCAGCAATTACCACAGGTATGTTTAAACAGTTTGGGAGGGTTAAAACTTTAGAGATCCTATCAGGAGGGCAGTAATTTGCGATGCCCTTTAAATGTAAAGTGCAGTAACAAATCCCAGTCAGTTTGGCTTGACTTCACCCGCGGAAATGTTTCACCAGTTCCCTGTGCTTGTGCTGCTCTTGTTGGGCCACCACCAAATCAGGGCCAGCAGGGAAAGCTTTGTGCGAGCCTCTGACCTGGCCCAGTTTCTGGACCGGATTGGCCGCCTTCACCGCCTGCCTGGTATTACCATAGTCAACAGCATGGGATCGATAAGTCCCAGCTATCTGGATGACCTGCATCGCGAATTGATGTGCAACAGCAGCAATCACTTTTATTTGATGCCACAGATGACGGCCACCGAAGAGGATTCATCGACTGTCCGTTTTAGTAGGCTGCAGAATGAGGACACACTGTACTTGGTGTTCGCCAGGGACTCCAGGGATGAGGTGATCCAGTTGCAGGCGCATAGAGCCCGCGGAAGACGCTACTCCAAGACCATATTCCTGCTCAGAAGGCATCAGTCCAATCGGGATGTAAAATATTTCTTTAGGCTTCTCTGGCAGCTGCAGTTCCGATCCGCTTTGGTGGTGGTTTCGGCACAAAAGTTCTACCAAATGGATCCGTATCCCACTATTAGCGTGATACGCATGCGGAGACTATCGGCCTATGATCCGTATCACCTGTTTCCGGCTCCCAGTCGGAGGAATTTTAGAGGCTATAGGATCCGCTTGCCCGTTCAGCAGGATGTACCGAATACCTTTTGGTACCAAAATCAAAGGACAAAAGCCTTGGAATTGGATGGCTTGGGTGGAGTCGTTATCAGCCAGTTAATGAAGCATATAAATGTGACCTTGGATGTGTTCAGTTTCGCGGTTAATGGTTCCATTTTAATGAATATGACGGCACTGATGGATCTAATTGTGCAGGGAAAGGCTGAACTCAGTCCGCACTTGCACGATACCTTGCGTCCAAACAATCTGGTGGACTACTCCTATCCGGCACAGATTTCTCCGCGCTGCTTCATGATCCCTTTGGACAATGAAATCTCTAGAAGTCTGTATGTATTCCTGCCTTTCAGTTTGAATCTATGGATTTGCTGGCTATTCACCATGCTCATTGTGCAGTTTGTCTTTGTGCGCCGCCTAATGCCGGATACCCATCTTTGGGCCATACTGGGAGTGCCAGGAGCTGGTGCAGCTAGATGTGAAAACAGGAAAGCTTGCAGAAGTATCTCTACTTTTCTGATCCTAGGAGGGATCTTCATAATGGTCCAATCGTATAGCACCAAGCTCACCTCTTTTCTGACCGTAACACTTACGAGAAGACCAACTGGGAGTTTAGATGAGCTGTTTCGGCTACCCCATCGCATTCTGGTCTTACCCTCCGATGTGGAGGCCATTGTAGCTTCCCTGGGACATGCTGATCAGTTTAGTTCAAAGTTTTGTCTTACTGATCCACAGACCTTCGACCGGAAGAGAATCTCAATGGATCCGGAGTACATCTACCCAATCAGTCATATTCGCTGGAGTTTTTTCGATTTGCAGCAGCGTTTCCTGCGCAAGAAGCGCTTCTTTTTCTCCAAAATCTGCCATGGTTCCTTTCCGTATCAATATCAGCTCACAGTGGACTCTCATCTCAAGGATGCACTTCATCGCTTCCAGCTACACGTTCAGCAGGCCGGCTTACAAGACCTTTGGCTGCAGACTAGCTTTCGAAGGGCACATCTGATGGGGTATTTGCAGGATTTCTCCACATTGGCCGATCTGGAGCAGAAGCTACGTCTTAGACCATTGGCCCTCAATCTTCTGGTGCCCGCCTTCAGTCTGTTTCTGTGCGGACTGGTGGGCAGCGGCATAGCCTTTCTGGTGGAGATCCGCCAGAGCTTCGGGTGCTTCGGACAAAAGCAGACACCGCCCACTAACCGCAACCCCCGGGATTAATGCATACGAAGTAGCTCATCCTAACCAGAAACCCTTTAGTCGAATTAGTACCGAATATTAAGTCTAATCTAATTTTACGTATGATTCACATTATATTCCCCACCTCCACCAACAACAACCACCCACCACAAACGCCATGAATGATACCCAATCGGACCCTAACCAACGAATCCAAATTTGCAACCCATCATATACGTATCCCATCGAAACCCATCCATCCCGGTCGTTTAGTCAAGCATCTGAGGCCGATCGTCGAGGGCGAGCATCATCATCTGGGCGGCCTGGAGGCACTAAGGGCTGTGGCCGTAGACCCGCCCCCCGATCCGGAGGCGGGCGGAGGCGGCGGCGGAAGAGGAAAGATCATCATAGGTTTGGACAAAAACAAATTCACCACTTTTGAACTCTGTACAAAGCATAAGCGATGCATCCGAAAGAAAACAAAAGCACACAAAAATACACAAAAACACACCTGCAACCATACACACAACACACGATTAGAAAAAACACTTGTTTATCATAGATCATATCGGATCTGTAGTTTGGCGTTATTGTAGTTATAGACTTTATAACATAGAGAGTAGTTGCTTTTGCTTAAAAATATATAATGTTTGCAGTAGGTATTTATCCAATAGCTTTGTAAACAGAACTACGAAGGAAATAATTTTATTTTGCTGGGTTCAGTAAAAATTCGTAGCTATAGAGTCTATAATAAGGAGAGCAGTTGTGATAGCACACAAAAAGAAGTCAATCCGGATCTTCAAACTAAAAATCGCAAACATCAACGTTGAGGATCCGGATTGGTAGCTTAACTTCTCATTTCTAAAAAGAAAGGTCACAAATATAAACCACTCCTTTGAGTTCCTATATAGTTTAAAATAATATACCAAATTTTCTATAAAGTTACCCTTGAAAAAAAAGTTTTTCTATTGAAAAATAATAAAAGTCATGAGTTTCTATAAAGAGAGTTGCACGATATGAATCAAATTGCACAATGAAAATACGTAACAAAATGTCATGTACTCCAGTGGCATCATATTTGCTTAAGGGTGAACCTTCATCCAAGTCTGTAGATTATCTTTGCTTTGCACTCTCACCTGCTTAACTCCCTGAAGCCTTTGCCCTGCACAAATTTCATCCACTATAATTACTATATAGCTTAATCCGTAGTTGGTAGAAAGCCACCCAACAAAACTGCACCACCACCCAGAAACCCAAAACAAAAAACCACGCACAGACACATCCATTGGGAAATGGTTTGGTTATCCTCAAGGAGATGGGAGCATGTTGAACTGACCAAGTAGAGAGCATGTTGCCGTTGTGTAGTTTATCGTAGCGTTAGCATGCTTGCCACGCCCACTTGCCCACTTGTCCACCTGTATTCCGTACCGCACGCCTACCACACGCTAACCCATCCGTTGGTGACAGCTCTCGTTCCCGGACTGGAGTTCTCCTCCTCCTCCCACCACTTTGGTTATGATTTCCGTAGTCTTTCTAGCTTGAGCGAATTTTGATTTAAACACACCTGTACCGGCGTTGGCTTTCTCTCTGCTCTGATCCCATTCCGCCCTTCACCTGTCACTGTTCCTAATCCCCCGGTGGATCCGTTTGCAGGCGTCGACTGGAAGTCGCTCACCATACCCGCCTGTCTGCCCATCACCACGGATTACTTTCCCGACAAGCGTTCATTGAACAACGATTATGTGATCTCGGATTACACGCTGCTGCCCGATGATGTGAATCATGATTATGCCCAGAGTAGAGCTGTTTACAGGAAACCCCTGTCCACGGAGGAGGTATGCAAGGAGATCGTTTCGCAGCGTTTGGCTCAGGGTTTCCAGTTAATCGTGGTCGATGAGAAACCCCCCACCGCGATCGGATGCTCCTCGGGATCTGCGGTGCAGCCGGTGAAGCCGCCCTGCGAGATCAATAAGGAATACCTGCTCTCCATTGGCCGCATCTTTCACAAGATCTCACTGACCGGTTCGGTGATCACAGTCACGGGTTATAGGCCCAGGTAAGTAAAGTTAGGAGGCTTATTTTTAATCCTGTATTGATATTTTCTGTTCTTAGACACCCGTACCCTCCAATAAACGTGGACTACCGGTACCGCTTTCATGCCCCACAGCACGAGACCTACGAAATCTCTGGCGTTAACTTTACCACCGAGAAGCTGGAGAACTTTAACTGGAACCACATGGATCTGTACATTTGTACGCGAGGAGATGTGGATTATCCACTGATGGAGGTATACCTTAATCACAAATATATACTGTGTAGGGAGTATTATAATTTAAGTCAAAAGTTTTCCATGCAGTGAAGGAGACATTTCAAAACCTACAAAGTATATTTATTCTTGATCAGCATGACCATTTTCGTTTGTTCGGAACGAGTCGGACCGAAAGAATATATCAAATAGCTCTTATACGAAAAAAAGAGATTCTGCTGTTTAAGAGATAATGCTGGTTAACTTTTTGAATATTTTCCACTTGGTCATTCAAGCCGAATATGCGATTCTAAACAATATCCAATTTCCACGCGAAAGTTATTTACTATTTTTGAATAAGGTTTTTTTTTATAATAATCGGACAATGACATAGTTGACATAGGAACGATCGCAAATTTTATCGGTATATTGGCATAGCTCCATTGTTTTTATATTTCTTAATATTTATATATCTCTTTTTAGAGCCTTAAGTACTGGCGCTATCGCATGTACCTGCTGCCCAGGGAGAACATTGTGAGCAAGATCGCCAGCTGTCAGCGTTGCGACATATTCCCCGATGTGACGGCGGACAATACCCGGGAACAGGTGGAGGACTTCGTCCGGCTGATCGAGGCGGTCAGCAAGCTGAAGCGCCAGTTTGCTCGTAGGGCGAGAGTAAGACAAAATCGATTCCTTGGCTTGGCTTTTGTGCATTCGTGATCCGTTGCGTTAATTCTGTAATTGCGTTCTGACTCCTAATTGACTAATTGTTCTGCCAGCGATGTCCACTGATCAATTAAGAATTGATTGGTTACACAAGCTTTCTAGAGTTCCGTAAATAGTTTATTTGTTGAGATTTTTGAAAATGATTTAACAAGTGAACATATAATACAGGGGATTTATTCAAATCAAGATGATATAGTTATATAGTTTTTAAAACTTTGAAAATCCTTTTTTGGCAGATTTCGATCAGTTCTAAAATTCTATTTAACTTTTTTTTTAAATAAAACGTTTTTGGTTGGAAAAGTTTAAAAATAAGATAAATAAAGAATAGTAACAATAATAATGAAATGTCTAATAAAATAATTTTTAAAATTATAAAAATCAATTTGTTAAATTCTAATATGCCTAATTCTTTTAAAAACAAAAGTTTTTAAAAATATTTAAAGCACTTAACAAATTATAAAGAAAAGGATTTTATTTAAAAAAAAGTTTTTTTTAAATGTAAGACACAGTTTTTATGAACCTTAATTTTGTTATGAACATTTTTTTAAATGTGTTTACAATTGAAGTTTAATGAGTTTAGTTTTTTTAAAACATTGAAGAGGAATTTAGGAACTGCAAACGTAAAACTAGAACTGTTGAAAATATTAACCTTGCATCACAAAGCCCGCTTTTAGAGCCCGTTGCCTTTCCCCTGATGTATCGAGTATCTCGCCTCACTTTTGCAGGACAGCCCCATCGCCCACAGCTTAACCAAGCGACGACACAGTACCAGCATTATATCCAGGCCTCAGCCTAACCAGGTTATCTACTCAACTTATTTCAAAATTAAAATGTTAAAGACATCATTTTTTTTCCATCTTAATTGCGCACTTTTGCTCTTGATAACTTTCTTTTGCGCACGTTTGAGTTTAATAGTTTCGATTGATTCGAAAGTATTGCAGACAAATCGGTTTTATCTAATAATTTTGTATCTTTTTTTTGAATGCCCCAATTCGCTTCGAATCCGAACCTGAATACTCAACTCCTCAGGGACTCACGAATTCTCCGTTCCGGGAGAGAGTCGGCAGTAATCGACTGCCGGAAAAGCGACCAAGGTTTTTATATCGCCTCCAAAAAATAGATCTAAGGCCCCTTATGTCTCTCTTGTACACATACAAACAAACATACACACACAAAACGCACATATAAACACTGTACTTGCATTTACATAAACCAGGAACCGTAATGAATTTTTAGTTTATTTCATGTATTTATTTAGGAATATTAGTGACTAGTTCATTTTTGTTAAAATGTCTTTTGATTTTAATTTAAAGTAAAGCTAAAATTCAAGAGTTTGTAAAAAAACATAGTAAACTTAGTACAGCCATTTACATTTTTAAGCAAAATTTCATTTCTATCTCGATGAAAAATTTGTTTAGTTATGAGTTCGATCACTATCTTAGTGCTAACCTCACATTTCCCAAATATAATTTCTGTGTTGCATAGTTTCATATCGAATACTCAATATTTTAGTGAACTTATTTTTATAACTATTTCAACATTCATACATATATAAATATAATTTGAAATAAGGTAATATAATTTTTTTTTATTTTTTTTATATATTTTTTTTTACTTTTATTCTAGTTGTTGATATGTTTCAAGATTCACAGTATGAATTTCAGACCTTAAAAAATGTCGAATTAATTTTATATGCCTTATTATTTTATACATTTTATAAAACATATTTTTATATAGAACTGTTTACTTACGGTCCCTGGTATAAACTGCACGATTCGTTGGGGATTTGGTTGGCTGCTGTTCCCAGGTGGTTTGCTCAATGGATTCCAAGGATCCTGGGCACATAGGCTAATTGTATATATTGTTGCTGGCTTGTTGTTTGGTTATCCCTTTTTGTATTGTATTCGTAGTCCTTACTGTTGTTTTTTGTGCATCCTGTTTATCAGATTTTGTTGGTTGGTTGTTTCATTTCTATTTGGTTTCGTTACGTATTTTTTATATAATTTAATTTGGTATCTGGCTTTCAGCAGCATGACACACCTAGAATCACTGAAAAGCATCATAACCAATTAAACTCACCGCAGCAAAGGTTTGTGCCACCCAGAGGGCCAGGATGCCACAACGTCCTGGCTCCGTTTATCTATCATGACTCGACTAAACCCCTCACTGTCCACATACCCGAAATCCCTAACAAAAACACACGCAATTGGCCTGCTGAACCCTGTATCCCCAATCCAGATACACACACACACCAGACCCACATGGCAAAGGACCCGGATAAGAGGAGTTACCTTAAAGATCTATCTAATCTATTAATTTCTGCTCCTCTGCATGGCAGCATTAATGTGCGTCCCAAGCTGGAAAATGGTCGGATTCCGCGTATATTTCCCGCCACCGATGCTGCGGCAACTGCAGGACTCGCCGCCAGAGATGACCAGGATGATGGGTGGGTCCTAAGCTTAAGGGATAAACCCATTTGTAACTTAAAAAATTTACAAAATATATATTAATGTAATAAAACGTACTGAAAACATCCGGCTCGAGGGACCAAATGTTTTTGCGGATCCTTGCCTAGCTAAAGTTCTCCCAGATATTTTGACATTTTTGCTTTGCAGATATAAGTTTTTAGTTTAGATTTTTTTGTAGCTGAAACCTTAAGATCAGTTTCATAGTCGTGTTTCCCATTATCTTTTATTCCAGGTTCCCCGTTGACATCAAGTTCAGTCCGAATGCCACGCTGGTCGAGATCTTTGAGGCCATGAAGCATCCAGTAACCGGAGTGGGCTACTTTTCCCAGACCCAGTCGCTGCCCTCCTGCACATTTGTGTCGTATGATGCACTGATGTGGTTGAAAACCCGTCTCAACAATGGACGACATCCTCTTGAACTTTTGGAGGCCATGCGAAAGTGCGTTCGTTGTGTTTTATAGAAAACTTAAAGTACTAATTTCAAATTCTTTTAGAGAGCGCATGATCTGCCATGCTTCGGGTGATTGGAAAAAGCCAGTGGTGCCTGGCTTTGTTTTCTATTATGTGGTGCAGCAGGATAAGAATGCCAAAGGTGGTTTGATTTACCTAATTCTCTATATGAATATGACCTTTTAACCTATTTCTTATACAGATTACGCCCCGCCTTTGGGTGATTACAGTGCCTTTGTTAACGAATGGCTAGAGATTGAGTTCCAGGGATGCAGTTTCCTATGGTATGATGAGCCTCTAACCACACCAGTGCCCAATTTCTTGAGGGACTCACCCGCTCCCCAATCCTGGACAGAAACCTGCAGCAATAGTTCGTATTACTTATAACCTTAAATAATTTTTTATATATTTTAAATTCCAAATTTAAGAGCGCGTCTATCGCCAGTCGCATTTGGAGATAGATGTAAACCAGAAGAGCGATCGCATGGAGTGGGGTCATGTCAAGCATCATACAGTGCTGCAGCCCGGATTCGCCTTTGAGATTGTGGTCGAGTGGGTTACCTCATCGGGTCCCATAGTTGCTGATTTGGTCAGTAAAAGCATCACCAAAGTAAAATCTGTTTGCCTTAATTGTATAATTTGAAATACGTGCAGATTGGTGGCTGGATGCGCAAGGCGAATCAGTTTAATTTCTTGGTCTCAGTGCCAGCAGATCCCATGGCAGAGCCCTTCACCAAGAAATCCGATCCTCTGAGAGGACCCATTTTCATTCCGCTCTGCACAACATTCCTGCCCAATGGAGCTGCTCTTTTCGAGGGTATATTAATTTAAATATTTTTAAATTGTGCCTATTTATTAATTTTTAACAACGTTTGCAGAGTTCCCCGAGGAAAGCAGATCGGATCGTATGTTGTTCTTGCAGGAGGCCATTTTGGCCAAGTTTGGATTTTTGCCCTGTGTTTTGGAAAAGAAATATAGCGTGGGAAAGGATGTGAGTGAATATAATACTCCTCTTAAAATAGTCTTATTATAAAATCTTTATTCTTATAGCTGCCCAAGGAATACCAGTATGTTCACTGCACGGGCAATATGTTTGCCTTGATACGGTAAGCTTTTGAAATCCAAATACTCATTGATACCTACTAATTGCTCGTATTTTTCAGCTGCGCTACAAACAACTACCAGGTGGAATCTCCCATTCTGCAGGAGGCCAATGTCACTCGATGCGTCTACGGCCACACGAACAACACAAATGTGCCCAAGAAGGTAGGTTTTCTGTGGGCCTGGAATCATATGATTCCCAATAAGAAGTGGAAGGCGCAGACCATCAACAATTCCGCGGACGGGGAGCTCTTCCAGTTAAAAATGCTTAAAGATTTCCGCGAGTTCTGTTCGAACAGCGATCAGCGTCTGTCCACTTTTTGGTCGCAGTCCCAGGAACTGAAGCGAAAGGCCCAGAAGTTTGAGTTTAACAACAACAACACCGATGAGGTTAAGCCCAAATAGAGTTTAATGGACGAAGATATAAGTGCATCGCGTTTTAAATTGTACATTCTGTTTTTTGGATATAATTATTTTTTATTTTTGAATAATTTAATTTTTCAATTTCAAACCAGTTTTAACCCTCAATAATTGAAACTTTCTTTTTTCTCTTACTAGAAATTGCATTTATTTATCGTAATAAACTCAACACGTATATAACTTCCAGGGGATAGAAAAGTAGAATGGAGATACACATTCGATAAGCTTAGGGGTCTTAAATGCTGCTAGGGGTCTGCGTTCGAATCCGCCCTTCTTTGTTTAGGGCGTGTAGTCAATCGTAATATATATACTCCTGTTTGGAGCACAGTGGCTTTAGGTGGATCCTTGACTAAAGCTAACCTATTTGGCTCTCATCATCTGGGGGTTCGCTTGCATTTACTTCATTACATTTTGTGACGGCTTTGGTCGTGTGGTGTTCTATGGATAGAGATATTAGTTGTAGTTGCGGGTTACTGGTACTGTTGATGGTGCTGCGGCGTTGCTGTTGCTGTGCTAGCACTGCTGGTGATTGTTGTTAAATGCTTTGGTATGCTGGCCAGCATGGTTACGTTTATTCATCGTCCCTCAGGAAGAGGGCCAGCTGCGCGCGATCCCGCTGCAGCCAGGCGGCATTTAGGCGGATCGTCTCCACCGCCTGGGATACAGTGCGCTCGCAACCGGGTATTTGGTTGACCTGGAAGAACTCCTCCACCTCCTTGGCCTTCTCCTCGGATGCAAAGTTCTCGATGAGATACTTGATCAGTCGGGAGAGAAGGAAGCCACCCTGAAATAGAAAATGTTATATTAAATGCCGTAACTATTGATTGTTGAATTTATAGTACCTGGTAGCGTTCCAAAAGCTGTTTGTTGTTCTCCTTAAAGAATTCCCAGGCCATATCACGACCCTTAGGATTGATTGCCACGGCGACAATTACAAAGACAGCATCCTGAGCCCTCACTTCACCCTGGAGAAAAGAAAAATCAATAAATATCCATGCCCAAGCCGAAATTTAAAGAAATACTCACAGACATGGCAAAGTCAATGACGCGTCGCAACAGCTTAACATCCCCGCAGCAGCCCAGTGCTCGAGAGATTCGATCCTGCTCCTCGTGCAGATCGGTGGCCCTGTATAGGTTAAGCATCTCCTCGAAGATCTGCTCGTCGCCATCCTGCAGGACAGCTTTGTAGCAAGTGGTGCGCAGATCCGCTGGCAGCGGATTCGTGCCGCTCACATGGCTGCGGAAGCGATTTTTCGCCTCCCCAATGATTTCGTTACTGCGGAAGGATACGAGGCGTGTGAGCACCAGACTTCTGAGCAAGGTGTCCAGGTGATTCTCGCCATCGCGTGGCTCCCAGCCCAGGCGATAGGCCACCGGCTCGTACAGATTGCGACCAAAGCGATGGAAGTCATCCATGAGATCCGTGTGCGAGATAAGAATGTGCAGATTGGTAAGCGAATTGGTGATCGCAGTCCACACCGTGTAGTTCGTCTCGTTCCTGTACGAATCCACCAGTTCCAGGACCTCGGCAGTGTTGGCATGACCCGCCTGCACCATGGCGAACATGTCATCTATTAATCCCAGACGATCGAGAGGCGGCAACTCCATCTTCTCCACAGCGGGCATTAGCTGTTCGAGCATTTTATTTGAGTAGCGGGTGCGGTAATAGCCCACTGTTCCCGGGTTTATCTTGATCCAATCGCCTTCATCTACATTCTCGAGGGTCACCTCCATCGAGGGCTTGTCCAGCAGGAAGGTCTTCGCGATGCCAGTGGGATTCTTCGAGGTAGACACCGAAATGGGCACCACCCACAGGCAGTTCTCGTCCGCCGGCGATCCATCAGCAGTGAATTTGCACTGCTTCAGGCGCAGCAGACGCTGGTTTTTGGACGTCTGCTCAGATTCCACACTGACGACCGGAAAGCCTTTGTGCTGCGTCCACGAGGTCATCACTTCCCCCACATTCTTAGAGCTGGCTTCCTGCAGGGCAGCCCACAAATCCTCGGTACAGGTGTTCCCGTACTGATGACGAGTGAGGTAGAGATTCATTCCCTTCCTGAAGTCATCCTCGCCAATGTAGTCGTGGAGCATGCGAATCACCGAGGCACCCTTGTTGTAGCTAATCTCGTCGAAGATCTCGTCGATTTCGGACGGGTGACCCACGGGCACCTCGATGGGATGCGAATTTTTGAGGGAGTCCAGCTCCAAAGCTCGCGTGTACATGTCCGTGACGAACTGCGTCCAGATGTCGTACTCGGGGAACAGGTGGTGCACGCACAGGAACTCCACAAACGAGGCGTAGCCCTCGTTCAACCAAAGGTGGGTCCACCATTCCATGGTCACCAGGTTGCCTGCAGGTTAAAATTTCAGTTAAAAATTAGATTTTTAACATATTTGTTAGTGTAAAAGTAAAGTCTTCACCATCTTTTGGGAATCAAGGGAATCTGACATGTTTTATTTTAATGCATATCAATTAAAACCATTATTCTTTATTGCTGAAATACTAAGAGTTCTAATAGAATCTGTTAGAGAAAGCAAATCATCATCTTTGGCCAGCTAAGCAAACATTTTCTTTATTTTCCAGCACTTACATCATTTGTATAAGTGCATATAAAATAAAACCATCATTATTCCTTGAAAACATTATTCACTACTTTTGAAACACTTAAAGATCACGTTCTTGTTCAAATAATCCAAATAATGCCCAGAATTTGTTCATTTTCGGCATCAAACTCAAGACATTGACACTAAAACCTAAAAGAAGCATCAATATCCAAGTAATCTGCAAACCAAATTGAGTTTCAGGTGCTTCTGCGTCAGACAAGCTGAGCTGAATACATCAGTGAATCAGAAATCCCTTAAAAGATTTTATAAAGATCAAAGACTGGTGTAGAATTTTTAACAAGTATCATTGAAAATACATCAAAAAGTGAAGATAAGTGCGGGATAAATCAAGGATAGCAAGTGTTATGGTAAATAGTTTTACTCACCGAACCACTGGTGGGCAATCTCGTGACCCACTGTCAGGGCAATCGATTGTTTGCGCATTAGCGAAGTGTTTTTGGGATCGACCAGAACGAAAGTCTCGCGGTAAGTGACCAGACCCCAGTTCTCCATGGCGCCGGCGGAGAAATCCGAGATGGCAATCAGATCCATTTTGGGCAGCGGATAGGCGATGTTGAAGTAGTCCTTGTAGTAGGGCAGCACTTTGGTGGCCACCTCCAGGGCAAATGTGCCCTGTTCGCGTTTGCCGACGGGTGTGAAAACGCGGACGAGCACACCATCATCGGACTTGCCCTCCACATAATCGTATTCGCCCACCACGACGGCCACCAGGTAGGTGGACATGATGGGCGTACGATCGAAGCGCACGCGTCGCAGATCGTCTGGCAGGGAGTCTTCCTTGACGACCGGCATATTGGACAGGGCCACGCGATCCTTGGGCACCACCAGGGTGATGTCGAAGGTGGCCTTGATGGCCGGCTCGTCCCAGCAGGGGAAGCAGCGCCTTGCATCGGTGGCCTCGAATTGGGTCACTCCCGCATAGCGCTCTTCGCCATTGGGTCCGAAGTACTTGCTCCTGTAGAAGCCCTTCATCTTGTCGTTTAGCTCGCCGGTGAAGGACATGTGCAGGACGCCTTGAGTCTCCGCCGGTATCTCCTGGTCAAACTCCAGCGTGGCCGTCTCATTCTCTGCGGAGTACACGATCTTCTCCGGTTTCAGCTTGCTGCACTCATAGTGAAGCTCCACCGCATCAATTACAATGTCCAGGGCATTCAGGGTTATTTGGGTAGTGGGCTCCTTGACCTGCAAGATAATCGAATCGGTCAATGTCAGTAACCGTTAGGTGAGCAACCCAAAACCAGTTAGAAGAAACAGTTAGCAATGTCCGAGAAGAATGGTCAGAATCCACAAAACAGTTACTTCAAGGTCATAGAAATGCGGCTTTCTTGGCTTTGTTGTGGGTTTCCGGCTTAAGCCAGGCAATCAAAGCAATCGAAAACGAGTTTTTGGCGAAATTTATACACTGCCCAACAGAAGATCCCACCGATTGCTTGCTTAATTTATGAACTAAACAAATGGTAATGTAATTCTTTCACCCGTCTTATCAGATTAATCAAGTCTTTGCTAAACGTCAGCTTAAAAAGCATTTAAAATTTGCATAAACTTGCAGTTTAAACAACTTTTTTGCTATTCGCTATGAATAAACACGTTAAGGCTTTTATAAAATAAATTATTCAAGTTTTTATTGATATGAAAAATATTTTTAAAACTTAATTAAGGAAAAAATGTATCATATTTTAAATATGTTAATACTTTGATGGTATGATAGGTTTGAAAAAAATTAAGTTCTCTTTTAAAACCAAGTTAATACAAAAAATATTTTAATAAATGAGTTGCATTTTATTTGCTTGTTGGTTTGCAAAGATTTAATGTGAATTATATCTATAGGGTATCCAAAGTGCGATTAAAGCGCACTTTATCATTTCCGCCGTTGACGCAAACAAAACGTAAACAAAATCCACCGTTATGAGCGGCGTAAGCAAAAAAGAGATTGTCTCGCATAAATTTTACGCGGTACTTTCGAGTGCTAGAGGCCAAATCGCCAGTCATTCCTTCTGCCGACAAAGAAATCGCACTTCCTAGTGGGTGTACTTATATCTATATCTGTTCATCAGTCCGAGTGTTTGCTTGCATGCAAATTGCAGCATAAAGAGAAATGTTAACAAGGAGAATGTCCAATCTTAAATATTTTTGCACACGTCAGAGGAAAAAGTTCACACAATGGATGGGGCGAAGAAAACAACAACAATGCGGGGAAAGTGAAAGTGGCTGGAGACGAGAGAAATGGAAAGAGATGGAGGCATACAGTCCCAACTCCATAGCTCAAACTATCTTATTTATTGAATGCTATTTTAGAAAAACTAAAACTCATCCCTGAGTTGTATTTATTAAATACAGAACATTTTAAGATCTGGCCTAAAAACTAAAAGTATTTTGTTCTTTTTTAAGAAACCCTTATTTATGCATAAATTATTTCTATGTCATATTATTTCAAACATGAAACCCTTATTCATGCACGAATTCTTTCTTTATCATATTATTCCCTCTCTTAATCGTTAGTGTCTACTGTTTAATAAAAGTACATTGTAGTGTTGCTGCACTGTACTCACATTGACTTGCACGATGGTCTTTCCCTTAAAGGTGAACTCCTGGAGATTCGGTTGCAGCAGGAGTTCATAATGCTTCGGCACCACATTGGTGGGCAGCCTCTCGAACTTCGCCTTCTGGGCCATCTTGCGCTCCTGCTCCAGTTGTTCCTGCTCCTTGCTCAGTGGCTGCGATTGCTGTTGGTGTGCCCGCCGCGTCTGCTGGTAGTTGCACCCGGGATGGTGGATATCCTGACCGGAAACTACGTCCGCCGAAGTGTGGGCTAGGATGGCACGATACTGGCTGCACAAATCGCCCAGCAATGGGGCGTCACTACTTTTTAGAGGTGCTCCAAGCGACACACAAGAGTAATCCCTGTAGAATTGCTTCTGCACCTTTACGAACTGCTTCGATGAGATAAGCGCGTTGAGGTGTCCACTTTCTGCTCGGAAATGGGTGTTAATTGTGGTCTTATCTGCTGCTCTCTTAGGGGGCAACTGAACCAGTGGGTTAACAACTGGGGTCCGAAGATAATGGTTAGCAACGATATTGCAGTCGTGCTTGGAGGAGGAGGAGCTCTTGTTATCGCCAGGCGTTTTTAGTAGCAACAAAGGTTTCTGGGTGGTGGTGGCGGGTAAATAGCAACTCTGGATATATCTGCCAGCTGGAAGAGGGAAAACGGTGTTAGCACTGGGATATATAGCATTTAGCATAGCAAAAACCCAAGCGTGAATTGCACTGATAAGCGTTGTTATTTGATTAGCTATCGTTTTTTTTTTTTTAGGGGGCGGGGTTACGAGGAGCAAAGCAAACCAAACCTTCGCACAAATGCTGCTCGAAATCGGAATTTGCCTTGGCTAAGTCCAACTGGAGTTTGCCGAGTTCTGCAATTACAATATTTTGCAACTGTTATTTACCAAGTCCGATTTAGTTTGGCGGAGGAAAAAGTCACAATATGCGGCGGCAAACAACACGCTTCGAGTGGCCCACTTGCAAGAACGAGTGGAACTGGGCCGCCGTACCGCCGATCAGCTGTTCGTCCGCCTACGCAACTCCCAGAATGCCAACTGCTAACTAAAACCATTGTATAATCACCGTTTTTTAACTTCCAAGCCTGTTTGGCCGTGCGTATACCACCTTTCAGTGCATTTTTGTACATGACTTTGGCCCGAAAAACTAAAAAATTAATAACAACACAAACGCAGCGCAACTCTACGGCAAATTTTGTGTGTTAAGAGTCGGTCACTTACCTACACTGTTCTTGTTATCAGCCGTTATTTTTGGTTCGGCATAACATTTTAAATTGCAATTTCTACGACCACAATCATATTCGGTATAGTTTTTGTTTGATTTGAGTTATGTTTAATATTATATATAACCAACAAATATTTGTTTGAGTTTTAGAGCCAAAGCTAAGTTTCTTAATATATTTGTACAACACAAATTCTTAAAGAAATTTCAAATTATAGTTCTCATTGCGCCATTTTTCAGAAGAAACTTGCTTGTAAGCGTTGGCCAAATAGCGAAACGTATCCTTATCTTGCAATCTAAGTATTTTGGCGCCATTTTTAAATTTTCAAGACCAACAAAAATTTCAAATTTAGCAAAAGCTCTTGTAACAAAAACACTTAACAGGAGTACTAAAACGTATGTTTAAAACACCAAATTAGAAATTAAAATGAATCAAGAGTAAAATAACAAAAAAAAATTTTTTTTAAATTAACAAAATCTATCGGAACCTATCGACCCTTGCCAGAGCTGCAAACTGATTACCAGGTGCTTTCTGTTCAGCCCTGGTCGGACCATGGAGTTGCTGTTGCTGGCAACCTCCGATCGAATCAATTGAATTTAAAAGTTAGTTTAAAAATTCTTGTCGGATCGATCGGTCGTTACCGGGTTCCGCGGCGCGTTCTATCAATCCCCTTTACGTGCTGTTTTCTAGACTCCTTCCCTACTAATCCCCGCACTTCCAACCCGCTGGCTACGCAACGACACCTGCAGCAGCCATTCCTGCAGCAACCTAACCTGAGCCCAGGCGGTTGTGCAATCGAGGGTATATATAATCCACCTGAATAATGATCCGAAGCCGAGTCGGGATGATGTTTGCGCCAGCTTTAATCCTCGCCACCTGCCTGCTGATCCCTGTCCAAGGAACGCTACTGGAGTGGGGTAAGTGCACACCGCGCCTTCCAGTGGGTGGAAAAGAACAGTTAGGAGCAGATACTGCTCCTCTGGCAACCCTGGTGGCTAACCTTCATTTTTCCCGTTATATGGACAATTGGAAATCAATTCGACATAAACAATGCAGCCAGTGGTCTTATGTAATCGCTTGACATAAGTCGTAGCATATTTCACACGCGAGTGTATGTACATATGTATGTATGTGCTTGCTATCAGCTGACTATCGGAGCTGCCCCGCTCCAAAACGTTCTTTTTATCTGCTTTATCAGTGGCAGAGGCGCGCTTTGGTATCAATGCACACGTCGCTGATTGCTGATAACTAGTAGCTACATATATTCTAATACCTGATAATCATTATTATTAGGCGTTTCACTGTTGTTGCGCTTTCCCTTTGGAAAGGTTATTGCGCGCTCTCTCTCTCTTTCTCTCTGTCACACTCTCTTTTCACTCAACGTGGCCGGCAAACCAACTGTTAAATACTGTTTAAAGTCTTTAGTTTCAACTCCCCAAACTGGAAAAACCACTGACCATTGGGTGAAGGTGAAAATTTGAATTTAAAATTGGTTGTGGCTCCATAAAAAGGGAAATTGTCTGGTTATAAACCTTTATCTCCTGTGGAATGGTGGTTCATAAGCGCGGAGTTGCAGAGTATTCGACATTTGCCACCACTTTGGCCGCCATGTTGCTGATTTACTTTGTCACGTATGCCACAAAATCGCCGGCTTGCCGGTTTGTTTAGATTCGGTGATTGTTGCTGCGATTTCTAAAATTTCCTGCGTTTCTTCGGTTTCTTGGGTTTCCTCTTTCCGAAGTCGTGGAAACCCAAAGTGCTTAAAAGCACTTTTCTGAATAAAATTACACCGACTGACGGCTGTTGTTGAATATCTGAATCGTAATCCGAGGCGAAAGATCCATTTAATTCCCTTCTAATCGGGCAAGCACCAGATTGCTTGTGCAAATAAACCCAGAAACATATTGAATGAGCACGGCGTAGCCACCTGGAAACTCGATCTGGGTATAATGAGGTACTATTCATTAGAGATCCACTTCTAGATCGTTCCACGTGCGACTTGAGAACATTCCCGAGGCATTCCATTAACACTTGATCGCTTCATTATTAGATAACGATAATGGTGGAAATCGCCGATGTGACGCGTGTGAAAATCCATATCATACTGCTATTTCTAGAGATACTGCTTATTTCATGAGTTATATTCAGCAAGCCATAAGAAATATTGACCCTTGCTCAATTCGGCATTTTAATTGTCTGCTTATAAATTTCAATCGCTTCAGTTGCAGTCAAGTAATGGCCTTAAATCCAAAAATTGTAGATCCTTTAGTTTAATATTGTTGGGGCTTGTCAAAATTGATCATCGGTTCGAATAAAACATCTTATTATTGTACAATCACTTTAACTTCAAAAAGTTTTTGCTTTATTTTCATAACACCAGCACGTATTTTGCCAAGATTATCACTTTGTCTTAAATGCACTTTATTTTTAATGCTTCTTAAACAATTTTTTGCTTTATAAGCAAATAACTTTAAATTAGCTTTGCTTTCGTAGTATTTAAGTTTTTAAAGTTCAAGAAAAACGTAAAACCTTTTTATAATTACTTCTCTGGTGCAGCTTTTTAGCTTTTAAGCAATAAATTCAATTCACAAAACAAAAAATTATATGCCATACTACTTACCTCATAGTTTTTGAACATCAGTGGGTTCTAAATGGTGTTTTGAGTTTGAAATTAGTTTGGGTTTTTAGTAACCTAACGATTTCTTACTATTTTACATCAAGAACAATATTATGCTTCAAGATTTCATTCCAAAGAAAAAGTTATGTTATATTACATAAAATTATATTTTATTATGTTGTTAACTTCCAAAAAAAATAGAGCAAAACAAGCATGATTTACTTTAAGTATAGAAAGTTAAATGGAGGTCATAACATATTTGGTTTAGATAGGATAAATGGATTAGTTTCTGTAGGACTCTCTGGCAGTTCTCAACCAATAACTCAATTCCCACCAAAGCTCCACCAATGAACTCGGGCATTACGTTGGTATTATTGTAGATTGCCAATTTAGCATTTTCTGCATCGATAAAAACGTTGACCTCAAACCAGAAGCGTGGAGGTCGACTGAAAGGTTCGTTCGCAACTGCGTTTTGAGTGGTAAATGCGGCTTAACTTCGTTAGGCTTTGTTTTTTGCAGCTCATTTTTACAACCATCGATAATTGGCCAGCGTTAAGATACATATGCATGAATCATGAATCATGAATAACCAATAGCTATAGTCTACCAATATAACCACTAAATAGAGGCATTATTATCTCAATCAAAACTCTGAAAACTAGGATTTTCGAAAACTCGAACAAGATTGGGGGGCAGTACACATTAGAAAATAGCCATGTTAACTTGTAGTTAAACAAGTTTGTCAAATATCTACGTATCTGTCTTCGTTTTTTGCACTTTGTTATGGTCTTTTGGTCTTTTCCACAGCGACAGTGACCTAGAAAGGTGTTTTTTGCCCACAAGCTAGGGCCAATGACCAGGTCGCGAGTGATGGATAATCGATCTGATCGATTGGTAATGGGGTTGTTGTATGAGGAACTGTGAAAGTGAAGCCTTGATACATTTCAATCGGATGCGGAACTGCTGCCCATTTTGGTTTCTGTTCCGCCAGCTGCGATTTTCCCATTTCCGTGAGAGGAGAGTGGAAAAAGCGTGCGAGGATTGTTTGTCTGTTTAACTTTATTTGTTTGCATGCCAGCAGGTGTTGTATTTACCCACCTGCCTGGCTAATTAAATAAATGACACGCCCCCAGAACGTTGGCAACAGGTTCTTTGATCTCGTTTGGGGACTTAAATGCAAGTGAATCCAGATTTCAGTACGGAATCATCGCCATTTGTCGCTTATCAAATCTTGTCACCAATTTTTTTTTTTTTTTTGTACACTTAACTTGAGCCCGCCATGTTTTTGTGTACAAGTTTCAAGGTGGCTATTGATTAGGGAATTGATATAATACATATAGTATTATAATATGGCCCTATCAAACCTGTGTCACAGGTGTTTCTGTTGTAAGAATATAACTTATAAATTCAAATCTTTCAGAGAGAATCAATTAATTATTATAATTTAAAGTAGTTGCCTGTTAAAGTTGTTAATTATAAGGTTTGAATACTTTGTTAATGATGTGGCATAATTAAACACCTTTCTAAACAACTTCATTAAATATTAAAAAATTTTATAGTTATTAAAAATAAACATTTTTTAAAAGCGTTTTAATTAAACCTTTTAATCATTGGTATCAGAAATATGTAAAAAAGTTACCACAATTTAAAGTATATCCTTATTATAGTCCATCAAGTAAATAAATCAATAAAAGCTCTATCTAAACAAAAATCAGATACCATAAATAGCCTTGAATAACATTATAGAAAACCCTCAACTGATTAAAATTGATTTTCTAGGTCACAAAGATTGACATTACGTATTAAGGGATTTCCCTGGGGCTTTCACTGGTTGACGTCTTCAGATCCTCGTCGCCTGTTGACTTATTTACAATGCCTTATCAGTATAGACCTTTAGACACAGACACACATTAATTTTTGATGATTTGAAACTATTGATTTTTCCGAGGCAGGCGGCGCCGCATTAAATAATCAATTAATAATAATAAAACGCAGTTTGAGCAAAATTCAATTCGAGTCGCAATTTCCACAAATGGAGGAGCTTGATTGGAATTCGTGACTTTTTTTGGCAAGTTTAATGATGGTGGTTGAGGGGGCTCGACAAGTTAGAGGCATTTGCCATTGATTGAGCTCAATTTCCGCAAATAAAACATGGGCTCTCTGGCGAATTCTATGTGATGTGATCGGTCACGTTTCCCAATTCTATAAGCCTTTTACATAGAAACTATTTTTGATTTAAAGAAAAGTTATTTTTACATTCATATCGAATTCTAGATAGGATTATTGTTCCAATGTGAATATCCTATAATCATTTTTGAATCCAATTACATAAAACTTCCTTAAAGGTAAATGAATCACTTCACTTATTATGAATTCACTATGTTTATCATATACATAGCTGTCATGTCAATGATCGGTCGATAAATAAGTCCGGGTGGAAAAAACTAGTTTGATTTTTTTTATTGAGCCTTCTAAACATTTGATAAACAAAAATTTAGCTGGAACCAAAAAACTGTGGTCATAAAAAAAAAAACCGGTCTTCATTGATATAGTTCGAAAAGATTTTACAAGTTAGTTTAGGTTTTAACTCTGTACTATTTATCTTTGCTCCTAATATTTTTTTCTTATGTTCCCTTATTAATTTTATCTAATTTAAATATTTTTTCTTTAACTTACAGACTTTGCCGTCACACTGAGGACAAAGATCCAGTTCATGGACAGTTCGTGGCAGACGATAGCCACCGCTGCCCACGAGTTTGACGAGCTGTCTGCCTTAACTTTTGACGAGTCCGAGGAGCTGATCTACTTTAATGACCTGAAGCACCAGAATGGCAGCATATTCTCCCTGAAAAGAGACTTCCTCGCTGCCTCCCACGTTGCGGAGCAGACGATTGCACGCACTGGGAATGAATCTGTGGCCGGATTGGCCTACGATCCGCTGACCATGAACCTCTTCTGGTCGGACACCCAGCAAAGGAAGATCTTCTTTGCGCCCATCCACGGATCGGCGCCACCAAAGGTCCTGGTAGATCTAAGCGCGGAGGGTGGACGACCGGATGGCGTGGCCGTAGATGTGTGCCGCCGGAAGCTGTACTGGACCAACTCGAACATCACGCATCCCACCGTGGAACGCATTAATCTGGATGGCAGCAATCGAACCGTGATCATCAATACCGCCATCGACATGCCAAGGGGTATTGTGGTGGACCAGCTGTCGGATCGTCTCTTTTGGATCGACGACCTCAAGGGTGTGTTCTTTGCGGTGGAAAGCTCCAAATTGGACGGCACGGATCGCCAGGTTGTGCTGAAGGACAAGCACCACGAACCCCTTAATCTGGCAGTGACCAACAATGCCATTTACTGGACAGATCGGACCACAAGGGCGGTTTGGAGTCACCCAAAAGTGCCGGTGATCAAGGTCACCACTACTTCCAAGCCGGAGGAGCAGGAGGACTCCACAGATCCCACGGACTTTAAGCCCGAAAGTGATCCGGAGCCGGCGGCGGAGGATTGCCCACTGGTGCGCGTAGCTAACCTAAGCGAGGAGGCCCGAGGAATCGTGGCGCGAACAGGTTTCTACCAGAGACTCCAGAAGGACCACCACTGCGCCAGCATAGTGCGCAAGGTGAAGGAACGATTGGATGAGCAGAGCAGGAAGATGGTAATTCGCAACCTGGTGGACCAGAAGATCAAAATACTGGAAGACGAGCGCTGCATGAATGGAGGCGAATACAAGGCGAAAACGGATCTGTGCATCTGTCCCACTGGTTTCAAGGGATCCCGTTGCGAGGTTCGCGAGTGCCACAACTACTGTGTCCACGGCACCTGCCAGATGTCCGAATTCGCGTACCCCAAGTGCTACTGCCAGCCGGAATTCACGGGCGAGCGCTGTGAGATCAGCAAGTGCTCCGGACTGTGCCTTAACGGCGGTCATTGTCGTGTGTCCAAGGACGAGAAGGAACCGCCCAGCTGTGAGTGCCCAGCTAAGTTTGGAGGAGCCCGCTGCGAGCAGAACTCCACGGAGATCTGTGCCCTCTTCTGCCGTCTGCTGAAGCACGAACCTAATACCTATGTGCCTTTTGGTTGCCATGACATGTAAGTCTGTCTGCGTTTTACTGAATCCCCAATGGACTTTAAACAATTAAACTTTTTCAACTGCAGCTGCGAGGAACTGGCCCAGACCAACAGCACCATCTTTGCCATCCCTCAGTACACGCACTTGGAGGTGTGCCTCACGCCCAAGGTGTGGACCAGCAGTGTGATCATCATCTTGGTCGTGGGCATCGTGTCTAGCCTACTACTGACCGCTGTAATTGTCCACGGAATTCGTCGCTTGTACAAACCGAAGAGACCTCGCATCAGGAAGACGTTTGTGGTGCGCAAGCAGGCTAGGACCAACTCCGCCGGAGACACGCCACTAACCAACCGGCCACTAGCCACCGAGCAGTGCGAGATCACGATAGAGAACTGCTGCAACATGAACATTTGCGAAACGGTAAGACTCCCTCAACAACTGATGTGTTAAATGGAGTATCCAACTTATTTCTCTCACTTTTTCAGCCCTGCTTCGATCCCAAGCTGGTGGAGCAGTCGCTGTCGAAGTCCGGCTGCAAGGAGGACAAAAAGATACTCATCCACAACATGGAGGATGATCTGTACTAGGGCGCGGGAGGCGGAGATCGACCTGCCTGCCCCCTGCAAACCAAACCTTGTGATAGTCGTCGTCGTCGAGTGCGGATTGGTATTCGAGCTTGAAAAGCTGCTGCCCGCCCGGCCCTCGACCCCGTTAGCCGCCAAGGTGCTCACCCAGGCAACCAGCAACAACTAGAAACCAACAGCCACCAGCACTATGCAACAAGCAACATGCAGCACCTGCAACACCTGCAGCAACAGCAACTTAAAAACTGATGGAGCCTGGGCACTTAAAACTCGCCAAACCAAACCAAACCATTTACTTAAGCCGAAGCAACATGTGTACTTAGAAGATCCTGGGAACGTGCTTCGGTCTCGTTAATTTATTCGTAGGATCATTTTCATCCCAGGACTAGGATTTATAATAGCTCAAAGCTCCATTTAATTTTTACAAATTTTGGATTTTTTTGAATTTTTATTTGGTTTTTATTTTGAATTCGTCATGTTGAAATGAAAGCAAGTCGCGCGACTGACAATTAGCTTTAAAAAAGGAATACGCACGGATACCAACAGCCTGTAGATCGTAAGCGGACACATAGACCATTGTGATTACTTACCTAAGCTGTTGTATCTTACCCATTCAACTGAGTCATGTTCAAGTTCCTGCTCCCCTTTGTTATGAAAAAGTGAAACTAAAAATACAAATAAATACCCCCTCCCACTAATCTTTGCTAAATCTTGCCTGATCGGGTGATCCCTTCCCTTAACTCCCCTCCTTCCCATCGTGCACTAGTTAAGAAAAGTCAAAAAAAATAACCCAAAAAAAAAAACTCCCAGAAAGATCGAGAGTTGTACATATTAATGCATAGTTTAATTTTAGTCGTAGTCCTTAAGAAAAGGGTTGAATAAAGAAAAACTACATGCAGTTGTAAATTAAAATTGTTTCTTACAGGAATTTCACCAGTTCCTCGTTAGACACGTACACTCACGAACGTCACTTTCTTAAAAACAAAAATTTAGATCGACACAGCTCTGACTTGGGATTCCTTTTTGCAGATCATTTGTTTCACTAATGAATTCCAATTACTTTTTTGAAATTCGTAATTTTTTGGCGAACAATGTTTTGACGAGCTACAGCGGTTCAGATCAGCTGTTATCGGAAGGTGGATTTGCTCGATGGAAATGGGAGTTTCATATTTCTTTAAAATTCCAGCCGTTTCCAACGGATGGACTGTGTGGAAAGACGGCATAAACGGTATTCCCAGTCACAGTTAACATTACGAGTCAGTGTTGCCAGATGTTCGTATTCACTCGATAGTCGCAACCAACAATCGATGTTTAAGAAAATCGAGAAACATCGAACTGAAGTGTCACCACTATTTCGTATCCATCTTGACAAATTTTCGCAAAAGAAACGAAAGTTAACAAATAACAGCGTTGCGGATAACAAATCGCCAATATAATACCTGGAAAACAACAAAAATGGTTAGTATTACACAAAATTGATGCAGTTGCACCGCAGAACAGAGTTTTCGACTTGTTTCCGACATCGCGTGTTTTCAATAGTCTGTGAAATTTGCGCATTTTTCGGTGCCTCAACAGTGGCGTTGCATTGAGCGTTTCTTAGGGGTGCAGTGGTTGCAGTGCGTAAAGGGGGTAAAGGGCGGGAGCAGCGGAGCACCCCGTGACCTTGCCTCCGTTTGGGACTCCGACGTCACAGTTCCGGACCCCTGCAGAGTGTGTATCTAGTTGAATAAACACCATGCGCTCGCACCTCCGATTTTGTCTATATGGATGTACAGCCCTTCGGTGCTACAAACAAAATTTACCTGAGGAAGGCAGTGTGCAGCACCCTTGTATCTCAAACTATAACATATGGTGTGGTACCTTCTTATCATTTTCAATTTATTGAATATGGTTTTAGTGTTTAAAAATTATCCCTGCTTTCAATAATACCTAACATGAACAATGATCACAACATTTTAATTATTTTTTAATCAAAAGCGAAACAAATAGAAAATTCAGATTAATTGTGGTTATTGCTATAAAACCGGCTAAGTGCTAAGTCTGCAAAGCTATAAATATTTCTGTACAGAACTAAAAAACAAATAAAATTTTTTACTTATTTATTTTTCGTTTTACTGATTGCAAAATGAATTTTTGAAAAGAATAAAATTGAAATTATATTCACACTATTATCAAAAATGTGTTCCTTGTTTTATATCAGCCAGCAAAAATTATAAAAGCCGTTAACCCCTTTTAACCTCTTATTTCTTTTACAGGGCAGCAACGATAGAGCATCAAGATCTCCGCGTTCGGATGATCAGCGCGAAATCAGCGACATGCCGGCCACCAAAAGATCGCGCTCCGACTCGGGTGAGTTTCCCAGCTGTCCGTCTATAAATAACTATGTATGATGGAATGATAACCGTGGCGATCGGCAGCACATCGCCCCCAAAAAAATGTTGTGTATGTCTGAGAATGAGCTTGGCACGTAGGTTAATCAACAAATCAATCATCGGAATCGGAATCCACGAGGAGCCGGCCAGGCCAAATTGTATTGTATTTTTTGGTTGTCCAAGCATAAAACATAAGCACATCTTATATTTTCTCTCCTACTTTTGTACTTGTACTCTACTCTACTCCGTTGCATCTAAGGGCAGCACTGACGCCACTAAATAATCGGTTTTTCTTTTTGTTCTGCTTAAGTAATTGCAGACTTCATAAACGCACGATGAACTCTAACTCAAACTGTGAGGTGTGAGGTGAGGTGAGAGTCAAACAAATCGATTTGAGAGTCAGTCTATCGCCAAAGTCGTAAAAGGCGCGATCCCCAGTCGATAATGCAAACCAATCCAAACATATACATACATATGATATGCTAAATAACGAAATCGAAAGCGAAAGCAAAGCGCAATGAAATGCGTGTGCTGCTCATGCTGCGTATGCGTATTGTGTTGTTAAATCTAGGGCATCAGTGAGTCCCGAAAACGAACCGAAACGAGTCGACGACGAATCGCCAGAACTAATCCAAAATGCATATATAACTATTATCTCTCTCTTTCTCTTTCTTCTATATCTCTCTATTTTTAGTTCTCGTAAGCGTTTTTCTACCTTTTAAGTTTGTTCCGCCTAAGACTAAGTTTTATCGAGATCGAGATCGAAATCGAGGTCGGGTATTCGAGATCGAGAGAGAGATGACCAATTAGATAACTCCACTACTACTCTACTACTACCAATCTACTACTACTACTACTACTACTACCAATCAGCCACAAAAAACAGCCCAACCAACCAGAACATCGACATTAATCCGCTTCTAACCACCTCGCCACCACGTCGTCGTGTGCCGCCAGCCGGGAACTGATCCGGGTTACGGGTCCTCCTGATCCTGTTTGTGATTCTGGCTACGGTCCTGTCCTGGTTGCATTTACATTAAGTACCAATGATTTTGTGTTTTGTCTTAGCTCAGATTTAGACCTACAGTCCGTCCTGTGCCATCCGTGTTGTGATAAATGGGGGGTACTAAAAACTCACTTAGTCCTAGTCCGTTGTCAATCGCTCGATCACCCGATCACTATCCGCAACTAGAAATAATTAACTTTTGACCCACTGTGGTTGAGCTCTCTTCGAGCTTAGTGTCGTGACAAATAAAGCATTAACCAAAAGGGTAGACAACAGCTTTATATATGTAGATAGGTAGGGCGGTGGAGAACTTAACCAACTTAAACATATTGTTGCTCTTATTATCGTTTCAGCGTCTTGTTTTCTTTTTTTTATTTTTCTCTTTTTATCACTGAGCAATGTATAATGTGTGTGACCCTTCTTCAAGTCAGTTACCACGCCCCCAACTCATGGAAATCGAATACGAATACGAATACGAAAACCGCACCTAAGGTTGCTTATAATTTCTAATTTTTATAAACTACTCGCCAGAGCTGAGCACACACGAGGAGATCGGCAAATCCCCAAAGGCCCCCAGCCCGCGTTTCTTTTTTTGGAGGGGATTCCCCGGATATCCTGCTGTGTGTGCACAGTTCGCAAGGTCGCCCACAATCGGATGTGTGTCGGCGGATGAATTTTGATTTGATACGCATTTACACACATAACTCGACACATTATCTCCTATTTATATATATAATAATATATATAATATTCACACTTGCATCACATACACTACGTATATCAATCAATTGCCTATCGATAAGCGAACAAATATGTTTTATTTGACGGGAGCTTTCTCTTTTTATTCTTGCATTTTCCAGCCTTGACAAATAAATGACAAAAACTCAAGCCCCTCTGCATAAACGATAGACTCACATATGTAGACTCTCATCCAACGCAAAAGCAAAACGAAAAGCGAAAACATTAACCTTAAGTATTATCCAATAATCATAATAATCGCAACAATACTATCGATTGCCCATCGATAGACGCGATCGTGTGCCATCGGCGGCAGCCTCTATATGATTAACAATTTGTTTTCTTATTTTTTCTTTTTTGTCTTCATCTTTCTTGCAGGCAGCAGGCAGTTTTTGTCTTTATTTAAGCGGTTTCAAACGCTTCAAACTCTTGACCAATTTGTCCCACTTTTGCCTTCGGAAATGACAGAACAAACCAAACCAAAAAAAAAAAGAAAGAAAGAAAATCAAACAAGTCAAATGAAAAAAGTCGAATCCCAAAACAAATTGCATAGCTGATGATCAACTGAACTGAACTCCTCCCTCCCCACTATGAGATGCACTAATCCCTCTTCCCAATTCTAGGCAAGTCCACGGATTCGAAAATTCCCTACCTTTCGCAGCCCCTGTACGACCTCAAGCAGACGGGCGATGTCAAATTCGGTCCGGGCACTCGGTCGGCCCTCCTCGGTCTCCTGGGCGGCGCCCTGCCCAAGCTCTCCTCGGAGCAGCACGACCTGGTCAGCAAGGCCAAGAAGTACGCCATGGAGCAGAGCATCAAGATGGTGCTCATGAAGCAGACTCTGGCCCACCAGCAGCAGCAGCTCGCCACTCAGCGCACCCAGGTTCAGAGACAACAGGCACTGGCCCTTATGTGCAGGTGAGTTCAGTGAGGTTTCAGGGGAAAAGATTATCCTGATTTCTGCACAGAGAAAAAAAAACATGTAAAATGTAATTGCCATTAAAATAGTAGTTTATCTATCATATGTTTAGGTACACAGCAAAATAGTATCGAGTTGTTACAATTTTAATCGTACTTTTTTTCAACGATTTCTCCTTTTAGTTTATTTATTTAAAAATTCGATTATAATAAAAAAAATTTGTCCAAATAGTAAGGTAACAATTTTCCGATGTTCATTTTACATATGTTTTTGTTCCTGTGTATGAAGATTATGATGCAAACTCTTTGAAAGTCTGGCGAAGATTGGTTCCCACGTCTGTAGCTCCGCGTTACTGGAGGCAGTCGCAGAGGATCCAATCACTGTGCGCTCTTAGCTGATAAGATCTGACTCCAAATCCAAAATATTCATTTATTTACTTTTATATTATAAATATTATATATATTATAAACTAATGACCATGACCCTTTTAGAGTCTACGTGGGCAGCATTTCGTTTGAGCTTAAAGAGGACACCATCCGCGTGGCTTTCACACCCTTTGGTCCCATCAAATCGATCAACATGTCCTGGGATCCCATCACGCAGAAGCACAAGGGATTCGCCTTTGTGGAGTACGAGATACCCGAGGGCGCCCAGTTGGCGCTGGAACAGATGAACGGAGCGTTGATGGGCGGTAGAAACATTAAGGTGGGCCGACCCAGCAATATGCCACAAGCGCAGCAGGTTATTGACGAGGTGCAGGAGGAGGCGAAGAGCTTCAACCGCATCTACGTGGCTTCCATTCATCCCGATCTGTCCGAGGAGGACATCAAGAGCGTCTTCGAGGCCTTCGGACCGATTCTCTACTGCAAGCTGGCCCAGGGCACCTCCCTGCACACGCACAAGGGCTACGGCTTCATCGAGTATGCCAATAAACAGGCCATGGATGAGGCTATAGCCAGCATGAATCTCTTCGATCTGGGTGGACAACTGCTGAGGTGAGTGTGTTGTATTTAAGCTGAATAAATCAAAAGATTTAACCAACATACTTCTTACAGAGTGGGTCGTTCTATAACGCCACCTAATGCCCTGGCCTGTCCCACAACAAACTCCACGATGCCCACGGCTGCGGCAGTGGCTGCAGCGGCGGCAACGGCCAAGATCCAGGCTCTGGATGCGGTGGCCAGCAATGCCGTTTTGGGCTTGTCGCAAAACACACCCGTCATGGCAGCCGGAGCGGTTGTGACCAAAGTGGGCGCCATGCCGGTGGTTTCGGCGGCCACATCAGCGGCTGCTCTACATCCTGCCCTGGCTCAAGCGGCTCCTGCTCTTCTTCCGCCCGGAATATTCCAGGCACCCACTCCCGTGGCCCCCAGTTTGCTGGGTGTTCCGGCTGGCCTGCAGCCCTTGCAGGCAGTGGTTCCCACTCTTCCGCCGCCCGCCCTGCTGGCCACGCCCACTCTGCCCATGACTGTCGGCGGCGGAGTTGGCGGTGTGGGCATAGTGCCCACGGCGGTGGCCACTTTGACTGGTGTGGAGGCCAGCAATGGGGCAGCAGCTGCTGCCGCACTGTCGGCAGCTGCGAATAATGCCGCTGTGACGGCAGCAAGTCTTTCGGAGAACATCAAGAAGGCGCACGAGAAGCAGCAGGAGGAGCTGCAGAAGAAGCTGATGGACGAGGGCGATGTGCAGACGCTGCAGCAGCAGGAGAACATGTCCATCAAGGGTCAGAGTGCCCGGCAGCTGGTAATGCAGCGGCTTATGCGGCCGGTGGACTCACGGGTGATCATCCTGCGCAATATGGTTGGACCCGAGGATGTGGACGAAACGCTGCAGGAGGAGATCCAGGAGGAGTGCAGTAAATTCGGCACCGTCAGCCGGGTAATCATCTTCAACGAGAAGCAAACGGAGAACGAGGACGATGACGAGGCGGAGATCATTGTTAAGATCTTTGTGGAGTTTTCGGCAGGAGCGGAGGCGATGCGCGGAAAAGAAGCACTCGACGGACGATTCTTTGGCGGCCGGAGAGTAGTGGCCGAGCTCTACGATCAGGGTATTTTCGATCAGGGAGATCTTTCCGGTTAGAATGCAAAAGGAGGAGATCTGAGCCAAGAATCCTCCGTCCCCGCGAACTTTGTTCTGTCATTTTTTACGTAGCACCTAAAACGAGAACGATGCAAGTTTATTTATTAACGCCAGTCGTGGAAGCGATCCACCATTGTTGAGCGGCGCGGCAGCCAGATTACAATTATGATTATGATGATGATGAGATGATTCTGCAACGCAGTGATTTAGATTTAAAGAGAGATTCCCGTAGCGAGGATAGCGATTTTCAGTGTTTTTGTATTATTGCTTGCCCTCGAAACACAGAAAACCACAACTGGAAACCCCAAACAAGCACACAATGGCAAACTAACAATGTGTACATTTTACATTTGATTCATTTCAGCGCTTAACTTACAAAATAAATAATAGTTTCCCATTAAAATTTGTATTGTTTTAAACATGTTTAAAAGAAATATTAATGTTATTTCTTTAACTGGGTTCAAACTTATGAGTGGTTTATATTTTAACAATAAAAAGCGCTAGTCCTTTAAGGACTGTCAATTTAAACTTGGCGCCCTGTTAGCCGACTTGCAACACTTTCTTTTTGGAAAATATGACTTGATTTTAATGTTTTTTAAAGTTAAGTTTAAAATTATCTTAAGTTCTATATATAATTGACGTCTTTTTAATAATTTCATTAAATAGTTTAATTAGGTGGAAAAATATTTCCTGAATATTCAAAGAAAAGTAATCGAATATTCAGGGAAAACATCGATAGGCCAAATTTCTCAACACATCGATAGTTTTGAGTAAACATCGATTTTAGTTCCAGCTCTAACAAGAAGAAAGAAAGAAATCAAAATAATGAAGTGATTTCCATACGAAAAACGCGAAATTGCAGAAAAACGAATAGGATACGCTGGCGCTCGAGAGCCGCGGCTAACGGGAAAACGCTGCGCAATCGCGGAAAAACAGCTCGCTATTCGGAAAACTCGCTGGCAAAAGCAAAAACAAAGACAGTGGAGCGCAGTGGCAAAGCCAAAAGCAAGGAAGGCAAAAAGCAAAGACAAACGCAAAGCCAAAAGCAGCGAGCGATTTTTGGAGGCTGCTTGGGGCGACATTAAAAAATAAAAGGTACAGAAAGCGTGGAGATCAACGGATTGGAATTGGAGTGGATTATGGTTAAAAATATCCAGACAGCTGTTCGCATTTTGTTTGTAGCACCTCGGAGTTTCAAATGCTATTCAGGTTATTCCGTTAGTAGCCTAAATAAGCCAGACAGACTGACGCTTTTTAATTGTGTTTTTGGTGCTTTTTTTCAATAACTACGCACCTACACACACACAGGGAGACAGTTTGTTTGTTGGAATTTTTTTTTATATTGGTTATATATATATATATAATTATATATATATATATATATATATCAGTGGCATGGGATATACATATGTATGTGATCCGAACAACTTGAGTTTGCCTTTTGGCCATGTACACACAATTCACACTCAGGTTTGTTTTGGTTTAGTAATCCTTTTATCCCTATCTCACCTGGCTAATCGGAAGCCCCTATGTTTGTTGTTGCTTATGTAATTCAATAGCCATCAGAACCCACAAGAATTACGTCCCAAAAACAGATTAAACAAAAGGCACGTGCCGCGCCGTTGGAAAGTCTGGCCAAGATTGGCCAGTCATCAAAGGGAACTCAAATTTCAATTGTTTGCAGCCAATTTGACTTGAGGGTCAAGTCCCTTCCCTTACCAAAATGATATCAACAAAAATATGAATGAATTCGACTTTCTGTTGCAAACAAACAAACAATTAGTTCAGCTGTAATCCACTTTTTATTACAAACAATTTAAAATTCGTTTAATTAATACCAATTCTGGCTTATATTTATATTTAAAATGAGCCTTACTCGATAGCCTTTATAGTTTAAAAATGTGTGACAAGGTTTATTTTGTCCCAATTTTTGATTTCAAGCAAGAGCAAAAAAAATTCTTTATGGAGACTAATTAAAATATCGATTTTAGCAACAGGCTTCAAATACATTTTTTCTCATCGTTTAATTAAGGTTGCTTTTCATAACACAGCCTCAAATAATCTGTCGATTTGCTTTTAATTGAACAGTTAAATAAGGGATTTATATTTACAAAAATTCTATGCTAAAGATTTATAGGGAAAGAATTTAGTATCCTTATATATTACATTTTTCTATTATTAAAATGCATACATTCACATTTTTGGTTTGTAATATAGTTTTTGATAGGAAACCAGTTTTTAATTAAATTTAATTATCAACCGCTTAACATTATTTTTATAATAATCATGATATGATGACATCATTTTAATGCAAATAAATAGTCAGAAAGGTGTTAAAAATTTTATTTATGGGGAAAGGTTTTAATGAATGACCTCAAATGAAAACAGGCCAACTAATATAAGTTGGATCAAAAACACTTTGGATTTCCTAGTATAATATGACAGAAAAAACGTTTTTTTTTTAAGAATTGGAATATCATTAGTTTTTATTTCAGGCGATGATGAAATGCTAAACGACAACCCCAAAAACACTTCGTAAAGCTGATCAATCCTCCAATGAATCACAGTTCTATTATCTAATTTTGCTACAGACAACAGAGGCACCATTGAGGCACCACTGGCGGAGCAGAGAAACAGCGGCCCCAAGATGAGCTGCAAAGTGCGGCTGATGGAGGACGGCTCGCTGGACGAGGAGCCGCTTACCCTCAAGGAGATCGCCTACCAGAAGCTGTGCAACAATCTGGACATAATCAGCAGCCACCGTCCCGATGGCCAGCGCAGCCTCAATCCGGGCATCGTGCTGCCCAACGAGATCTGCGACGGCTTCCTGGAGAACTATCAGCGTTTCAATCGCCCACTGGACGACAGCGTCATCCGGCTCTTTGAGGACACCCAGCGCACTTCGCTCAAGATCGTGAATCTGCGCAACAGCACACTGAGCAGCATAGGTGAGCTTCGCCCTTCTCAGGAGTACATATCCAATTCAGTACTAAAAAACTTTGTTAAATAGTATTTGGGATGTTTTATACTAGTGTATTCTTCATCTGAATTTGATTGGAAGTCTTTATTTATGTCATGTCCATCCAATAGATTTTCAAACAAATTTAATGTACTCACAATGTTAAAGATATGTTTATTTAAAAGCATTTATAATCTATGAATTGTGCTCAGGAGAAGCTCTACTCTATTGATATATTTTTTAATCAGACATTTTTCACAATATCCAACATAAGGGCTTACTTTTAATCGTAAGCCAAACAAATTATACTATCTTAAATCTCATTATTATCAAGGACTAAAAACTCGCATAATAAATTTGGAATACATTTACGAAATCATTAAATTATCAGGAACTACATTTTTAATTTGATAAATTTATATCAACTAAACCATTCGAGTAAATTGTTTATATCTTATATAATAACTGAAACTGCCAAGTTTTAGTGTCACATCTTATACACACATATTATAAATCGATTTGCAATTTTTAGGTTTGGAGACCCTGTTGCGACACAAGCTTTTTGCACTGTCCATGTGGTATTGCGACATGATAACCGTGGGATCTCACCACCTGCTGGCCCACTACGGCGACAGTCTGCGTTCCCTGGAGCTGGGAATCAGCTCCCATCTGTTGCAGTACGCGGAGCCCAACGAGAAGGAGCCGGTGGACTTTCAACTGACCTGTCCCCACCTGCGGCGACTAGTGCTCAATGGTGTGGTGATGCACCATCGACTGCAGTTCGCCCACCTGCACGATTTGGGTCACTTGGATCTGACGTCCTGCGTTCTGGCCAACTTCAGTCTGGAGGCGTTGGGATCGCTGCCCAATCTGCACACGCTTATTCTGTTCAATGTGTGGCCCATCGCGAATCAGCTGCATGCGATTTGCTGTCTGAGGCGACTGTGCACATTGGACATATCCATTTCCAGTTCCGGGAGTGGCCATGGCAAGTACGATCTGCCCGATCAAACGCTGGAGATGCTAATGGACAACCTGCGGCATCTCACACATTTGGATATCTCGGGCACGAATTTGGCGGGCAACGGGGTGGCCACCAAGGAGTCGACGAGTTCCAGTGCCACACAGCTCAGCACCAAAATGGAGCAGCAATTTGCCCTCACCGACATCCCCGGTTTGGCATCGCGAACTCAGCGACCGCTGCAGTTCCTTGGACTTTACCATACGGATCACTGGGCCTGTAAAAGACACGATATTCCAGCTCTAGAGGTGGCCGGCGATGCCAATGAGCAGCAGATCCTCACCGCAGCTCGGTATTATCACGACAGACCGGTGCTTTTGACAAGGGTGAGCAGTCTTGCTATTGGCTTATGCCCACTTGTGTTTTTAATTCATTATTCTTTATAGGTTCTCAACGATCTGTACCATCTCTTCCGCTTCGAGAACTGCAAGGACATACACACAGCACTGGATGTTGTGCTCTCCGCCATGGATCGGCATCTCAAGTTCAAGCACATGCAAATCTCTGGCAGGTGGGTCTAGCATTCTAATTTAAGACATTCCTTTTTTATTCAAGATTTTCTGTGTTTTAGTGCCACTCTGTTTTACATAGTCAAGGGCAGAGATCGCTCCAAGTTTGGAACACTGCTGCGCAATCACATCATTCGCACCCTGCTTAATGGCATGGAGATGCATCTCACAGACGACACCATGCTCCGAAATGGTTACCTCACACTCACCCAGTTTCACATGCCCTTCGATGTGGTAAGCTTGGGCTGACATGAATGATTTATTGAGTCTCGCTAAATGTGTGACTTTGCAGCTCTTCGAGTACGAGCGTCTCATCAAGATCTTGCTGCACGGCGTTTCCAAGACGGAACAAGAGGGATTTGTCCAGCGCATAGCCATCTATTTGCTAAACACACTCGCTTGCCAGGTGGATGGAAGACAAAAGCTCTTCCTGGGGGAGTTGGGCGTCGTTAGTGTAGGTCTCCATAATGCGAAATCAATCGAGGATGTTACATTGATTAATTCCCTACATTATAGACCATGCTGACTCTGATCAAGGATCGCCTAACACGCTCCGTCTTCGACGATGTGATGGAGGTGGCCTGGTCCACTATGTGGAATGTAACCGATGAGACTGCTATTAATTGTAAGAGATTCCTCGATGGTCGCGGCATGGAGTATTTCCTCAAGTGTTTACATGTAAGTTAAAATGGAGTTAACTATTGACTATATAACTAAATCAAGATGGATGTCAAAATGTTGAACACTATAAACTGTCTATACTATATATTTATTGATAAATTAGTGGGACCAAGGCAAGACCTGCTATAAGGAAGCTCAAATATGTAAATTCCTTGGTTTCAAGAACAAATAGGTCGACTTTTTGTATTCAAACCTGTTAAGCAATGCGATTTTTTCCATAACAGACCTTCCCGGATCGCGATGAGCTGCTGCGAAACATGATGGGCCTGCTGGGCAACGTGGCTGAGGTGAAGTGGCTGCGGCCCAAGCTGATGACCCAGGAGTTCATTGAGGTGTTCGCCCGCCTGCTGGACTCCCTGAGCGATGGCATCGAGGTGGGTGGTGCTGGTGGCAGTTTGTTGGCGAGAGTGCGGGAGAGAGAGATGGGCAGTGCTAACCATGCTAACCTGCGCTTCCAGGTCAGCTACAATGCGGCTGGAGTGCTGGCGCACATTGCCTCCGATGGAGCCGAAGCCTGGACCATTAAGACGCCCAGCCGTGAGCACGTGTTGGAGCGCATGGTGGCCGCCATTCAGCGGTGGAACATCAAGAGCGAGCGGAACATCAACTACCGCAGCTTTGAGCCGATCCTGAGTCTGGTGCGCTGCTATGAGACGCCCCAGTGTCAACACTGGGCAGTTTGGGCCCTGGCAAATCTGACGCAGGTTGGTGTATATATTGTCCGTCTTCTCAATCGTACCAACTAAACTGCTCTCTGATCCTTAACACAGGTTTATCCCGAGAAATATTGCCAGCTGGTGGAGCAGGAAAACGGCATCCAGATCCTGAACGAGCTGATCGAGCACGAAAGTCCCTACTGCGAGATCAAGCGCATTGCCCGTATGGTCATAGAGCAATGTGACAACGGATCGGATCGCATGGTCGAGGGCTAAGCGGATGGATGTGTAGGATATAGTCTAGGCTTAAGCATTCGAGTTTGTTGTAATGTTTTTTTCTGCTTCCTCTGTTCCCCGTTTTAAGGCAAGTGCTAGTGTTATATATTGTTCAGGAGACTTTCTTTCTTGACTTTTATGTTTGTTGCGAGAGCAACAGATAAGTGCAAGTTTAAGCTACGCGATAAATAAGCAACTAAAAAACCTAAAGAGGAAAAAACAAACAAAAATATTCGATAATTACATAATTACTAGATTATATATGTATATGATGTATCACATGTTGTAAGCCAGCGATCTTATGAGGCCGTCATAAGTGTAAATATTGTTAAAACCGGAAAGAGGAGGATACTGATAGTAGAAGGAAGGCAGTTGGAGATTAAATAAATCCTTAAGAATTGAATTCCCCTGGATCAATAGTTCTTTCTCTAGATATGTAGATGAATGTAATGAATTTAACTGCGCGATCTGTTCCTAGATTTGTGTTCATTTACCGATGGCCGCTACCACTTTTCTTATGCTTTCGCATCATTCACCTTAACCGCTCCAAGTTCTGGAGGATCGTTCTATATATAATCTAGCTATATAATCTAGACCCCTAGACTAGACCTTAAGCGACTGTAAATAATTGCAAGTAAACGATTTTAAAGTTCTGCACTTGCATTAATAATATTTATAACATTGTATGTTATCCATTAGTTACCTTACTTTACGTATATATATAATTTGATTCGTAAGCGTCATCACGCCTGTGTCTTATACTTTTTTTTCATACCCAATATCACCCAAAAGTCTCCGGGGAAACTCTCCCCAGATTCCTTTAGTTTCAATTTATAGACTTGCAGTTGGACTTTTCTTTGGATTATTAGATTGTGTTATTACCAAATTCGACTTTTTTGAAGTTTGATTGCGGGTTAATTTTAAAGGGAACTGTAAGTAATGTTTGAGCTCTTTCTATTATAGTCTTATCTTAAACCGACCTCAGGGATCAGAAAACTTTTAAAGATTTCCAAACGATATTTTAAAAGAGGATTTTTAAAGCTTACTCTTACTTAATTTAAATTGAAATTTTTTTTGGGTTTAAATTTATGTAAGGGGGTCTTTATATACTCATTTTCGATCGCCTTGTTTAAAATTTGATAACCAGAAAACTTCAAATGTCTTCGGAATGAAGATTTTTATAAAGATTGAGAACGTAATGAAATATAGATAAAAATTCCTACGATCAATTATTGCCAACGAGCCCGTTTAGAGTTAAACCCTTTTGCCAGCGTAGTTCTAACATTATTTAGATGAAAAAAAGTTAAACAAAAAATATGATTTTTTAAACTGTTACATAGTACGACTGTATTTAAAGAATTATAAAAATTGGAAAGTTCCACTGTAATTATTAAAGCATCACCTTGAAATCGAAACTTTGCAGCAGAGTGTAGCAAGGAGAGCTTCTTCCTTCTTCATATGTATGTGGGTATGTGTAAATTTCAATAAAGCTGCATCGCTGTAAACGTTTGTGGGTGTGAGTGTCTAGCTCTGGAATTGCGTCATTTCCCCCTTGGCGGGGTGGGCGCAGCGGGAAGACGGAAATGCCAACGGGTTGGAAATGCTTTCCAAACGAAGCGCATGTGCCGTGGGAATCCTGCATCCCCCAGAGAAACTTAGCAACCCTTGCACCTGCTCTCACACTCTCTTCGCTCTCTCCGCCAATTTGGCATTTCTCTTTTGTCAGTTGTCGTTTTGCCGGTGGAAAGTTCGCTTGTTTGTTGTTGCCTGGATGTGAATGTGCAATATTTTTATATTTGTGGGTGCAAACAAATCGGTAAATAGCTCAAATAAATAAAAAATATCACAGAAACCCATTAAGTGAAGTTTTTGCTAAGAACAACGTCCTTCAAACAACAAAAAAAGCAAACCCTTGGGGGAGCAATTAACCTATCAAAAGTCATTTTCTTTGAAAAGAAAATAAAGCAAAATTCATGCAATTTCATTCTCTCGAACAAAAGCATTCAATCAATGCCAATTGCCTAGTTTAATTCAACAAAATCAAAACAAAATAGTTCCGGCAATTGACGAGGCGTAAACAAAATGCAAAACAATTGTTTGCCAGCCGGATTCTGCGCAGTTTCCCTTCAAATAGCCGAAGGATCAATAACCTCCTTATCAACACGGAAATAGGGGAAAACGACAACAAACCGTTGCCTTGGCAATCAAAACAAAGGGCAGCGAGAACCAAAATAAAAAAAGAAATCTGTTTGCCGGGCATGAAATAGACTAAGGTATTGATTACCGGTTTTAGCCTATGATTAAACGGAAATTAATTTCTCTGGGCCCGCAAAGTAGTGCAACAATTCCAAACACGACAAATTGTAACAAATGGTTTTCACAGGCCCATTAATAGGGAAAAGAATCTATAAATATATGCATTTTGAGATTGAACCCCCAAAGCGGTATTCGAACCGCCGACAGAAAATTCACAAAGAATCACGCGAGAAAACGACAACTCAACGCATTCGACCAAACCGGTGGTGGAAATTCCGGCGTCCAAGTTTAATTTCAATCTAAAGAGCTTTTGGGGAAAAAAGTTCAAAAAGCTCAAGCACAGTGGCTCCAACTGGGGGATCTAGATGGCACCACTTTCAAAAATAAATAATACGTGATAAGGGGTTATTTAAAAATGGTCAATATTTTGTTTAATAAAAAGAATAGACTCAGTAATATTTTATTTTAATAGATCTTAAAACTAAGTAATTGAAAAAATGTTTAGTGGATGTGAATAGGCTTATTTTAAAGACAAAACAACATTATTAATAATAATGATTTGATTTTAGTGAGGCTAACACCAGTCTTAAAAATAAAAAAATAAATAAATACGTACATATGAATATTTTTAAGTCTTATAAAGAATGTATTAAGATGTGAATTGTATGCTGAGGAAAACAATTAAACAATTTGTATATGAAACATGAGTAGGAAATCAATATTTGGAAATAAAAACACTTAAAAATGTATATTTTTCAGAAGCTGAACTTTATTCGCTACGATCACTGCCAGTAGCATTTAACAATCCCACAAACAAACCTGGATAGCCAGGAACAGCAGGATGTGGCCCGGTTCCGAGCGAGGAAGCTCTCGGGCCCTGGAAAACCCAACCAGTCAGCAAAACGCCGGCGGTAGTAGTCAGCAAGAGACGCTGGCCGATATTGAACACATATCCACAATCGCCGGATCGTTGGCCTCCATTGGATCCATCTCGCAAACCCAAATGCGATATGTAAGTTCTTGGAGATGCTCCCATGGATAAGATCTATAATTTCATATGTTTTTAGCAATGCACCAATGATGCCGGCTATGATACGGAACACACTTCTTTGAATTCGGACTTTGATGAGTCGGAACTACGGCGGGAATTATTGAGAGATGTAAGTTCTTAAAGGAAGTGTTCATCTTTTTATTTGCTTACCACATTCTTTAATATAATTTAGGGTTGTTCTTAAATCTTTATTTCATTTAATTTTTCCTAAGGGGAAATTTAATAGCCTTTAATAATTCAATTTTCTTTTTCAACTTGATTTACAGAAATGGAAACTTCTCTTTGATATGGTAAGTAACCAACCGAACCAAATATTATAGAATTATAAAAGTAAATAATTATATCCTCTCTATTGCAGTTTGATCCCGAGGGTTTTGGCGAAATATCCGTTGAGGAATTCCTGGTGGCCTTAAGGTCGCCAGAGTTCCTGTCCCAAGTGCCTATGAATAAGCGGGAATTGCTGCTGGAGCGGGCCAAGAAGGCGAAGTTGCCAACCGGACCCGGCTATGTGACGTTCCAGGACTTTGTGAATGTGGTAAGTGCGCCGCAATTACAATGGCCAACTGGCCAAGTAAGCAAGTAACCAAGTAACCAAACCAACCCATGTGCCCAAGTAACCGTGCCGTGTGTTTGTACCGGGCTGCTCATCAACGGCAAACTCGATTTAAGTGCAAACACAGGTGCAAAGTACTCGTCCAGGACGACGACCAAAGTGTAGGCTCGTGTTCAAACAGACGGAGGACAAGGCTTCGTCCTGGCCGCACTCTTGTTTGGCAAATGCAAAAAGTGCGCTTGGCAAATAAATGCAAGGCTTACGGTACACTTGAAAAAAATGTTGCATTCAAACTTTTGTACGATTTGAATGAAACAACCTTTAAAAAGCAGTCGGTTGTTTTCAAAAACCCAATCATAAATACTTTGTTTGAAACTTTAATTCACATTAAAAAAGTTTTAGTATACATTTGTTTAGGTTTACAGTTAGAAAAAAAGAATTTTCTGACCTAAATTGGCCACAGTTTAAGAGAGGAAATTTACTGACCTAAAGAAAATTGCAATCTTTTTTAAAATTCCCAATCCCATACTAACTTAAATATTTTCAAATTGATTACCATGCACAATTTTGGCCTACGTTAACATATTAATCATTAGCTTTCTAGTTGACTAATGATAATTATAAATTGTTAAATTAGTAATCAACAGATAAATTACTTTTAAAATTAATAGCGTTGGGGCAAATAAAATATAAGATTTTGTTTATTACATAAAAAAATCGGATTTATAAGTCTTTAGATAAAAACTAGCTAGCAACTTTAGCTAGCTTTAAATAAATATTGGAAACATTTTTCGAAATATTTTTTTTCGATGTACATCTATTGCTCCTTCGACCTTTTCGCAACGCTTTGCTGGACGTTTGATTGTTTGTCCTGGCTACCTGGACTCTGGCTATTTGCCCTGATGTGGTCTGAAAATTCTGCCCAGGATCTGGCTGCCTTGGATTAAGCTTCTGATGCAGCTGCTCCGGCGGGGACAAGTGACTTCCCTCTTTTCTCGGCTTTGCCTTTGATTGGCAATCCTATTGCATTTTGATTGATTCGCCCCGAGTTGATTGGCACGCAGACAAACCGCACACGACAAAACACTCATGCATAATCAATTCCAAAGTGAATATTCACTTCGCCTTGGCCGCTCGATTGTTTGCCAAAGTGTCCTTAAAGTCATGAATTAGCCAGGCTGCTATGTCCTTATTTGCCCCTCTTTGTGTGCTGTTGGTTGTGGACGAGACGAAGCCCATTCTTTGCACAATGGTTTTCCATTCACATTGCCTCGATGGAGGACATTATTAGGTCCTTGTTTGGCCTGCTAATGCATTTGTTATTCCAATTGAGGGCTGCCCCTGTTCAGTTTGTGAGGAATTCATATCTACGGCAGCAATCTGAGATCCTTGTTGTTATCGTAGACAACACATATTTCCACTTAATTATAAATTTCAATGATCTGCTGGTCGGAAGCATATGGCAAATGGACCAAGACTTGGTATCGGAGGGATCGCCAGGAATGCTGAGGAACGATGTCCGACCTGGCAATGCGCCATGCATAATGCAGTCTGATGATTGTTGCGTTTTCAACAAAAGCTCGCACGTGACAAATCCTTTTATGGCAGCGCACAGAACTCGGGGATGTGGAGGTAAATGCGGCTGTGGTGTGTGGTGTGTGTGGTGTGCGTTGTGGCGAGGACGTGGCCAAGGCGAATGACGCCACCGAGAGGGGTGCGATGTGTTGAACGTTATGACAACTGGAGGCACGAGGCTGGCCGGCTGGCGACTGTCGTTTGTCTTCCCCGGATCGGTCCGCATCTGGCCCGCCTCGCAGGTTTTCTGGCTCTGGCTCTGCCACTGGCTCAGGCATTGGCTTTGGCTTTGGCTGTGGACCACGCATCGGGCATCCAAACATCAGGCACAGCAGGCGACGGCAGCCGGTCAAGAATCAATCTGTGTGTGTCCCATGGCCAAAGACGAACTGGGTATGCTCTTATCTGCAGTCAACTTGGTTGCTAAAACAAAGTAAATTTATAGCGGCTTGAGAAAATTTCTTTGATCGGGACTGTAATCTTGCCCCTTTCAAAAACACCTTAAAGAACCTTGCTTTTAGATCGAAAATAGTATGATCCTATCTATATCATTGGCATAACCTTACAGGAGAGTTATTATCGATAATTTTGCCCTTGCAATATTACATTTTTATGAGTTTAAATATAAGTAAGTATAATACATAAATGCTAACTATAAATGTAAGCTATTAAACGGATTCAAGACGAAAAAACACTTAATAATTTTAATTAAACTAGCAATGATTTATAAATAATTTATCCCCTACAACAATAAATGTTGATTGCAGTACATTTTATATACAAATGTCCACTATAAATGCACATTATGTGGAAAATCAAAAGTGATTTAAAAATGTAATCCTCTATTTATAAATCAAATCAATTTTAAGAACATTAAAAGTTAAACATCGACAATTGCAAAAAATCGTAATATTCGTATAAACAGTATACTTACTTATATTTGAGCTTAAAACACTGAATTAGTAGATTGATCTTGGTCCTCTTTGGTTTTAATTATTTTACAGTGGGGACTACAATGTTTGGCCTTTGGGAATGAAATTTTGCTGACCTTGTCTTTGGCAGCTCCTGTCTTAACCCAAGATTTAGAGACCCTTCCATTGAGGGGTATCCACTTTTAATTGCAGTCGGTGGTGGTGGGATCGGGCAAAAAGCAGGAACGCCGCCAAGGAGCATTCTTGCATTAATCAGAAAGTCAACGGAGCTGCCAGGCATTCGATCATTCGATCATAAACGAAAGCAATTGCGCACAACTGGTCAGCCTGGCCTGGTGATGCTATGGGGTCCCAATCCCAATCCCAGTCTCAGTTTCTGTTCCTGCCTGTGTCCCGGTCCAACCCGACCCGATCCGGTCCAGTCCGGCTGCCATTATCATAATCAGGAGACGCAGCTGGCAGACGCCGAAGCTCCAGCTTGATATCAAGGCAACCACAACCACAACCACCAGCTGAATCTCAACCGCAACCTGTGCCGAGCACGCACCAAGAAATTCCAGCGGTTTGTCTTGAATGGGCCAACTGCAGAACGGTCGCTCCTCAGAGGAATGCCAGTGCCAGCCAGTCAGCCAGCTGCTGTTCTGCAGCCTCTCCTCCTGGTGCTGCATCTCAGATCGGGTTTATTGAATAAACATTGGAGTGGTGCATTTAGAAAAAATTCTAATCAATCTTTGTTCAGAAATCAATTTTATAATTCCGAAAATACCCAAAAATCTAAATATAGTATGCGCTTTTAATTTTTTAACTTATATTTGTATTTTTTAATACAAGTTACTTTTTCAAGAAAAACAAAATATATAGGATCTTTGCAAAGACTGGCTTGAATTATTATGTTTTGTTAAGAGAAAATGTTAAAAGCATAATTTTTGTATTCCTGATCGAATTTTTCCTGAGTGTTGTGATGCTCTCCTCTCGACTCCTTCCTGCTGATCCAGCCTCCGCCGAGGTGGCGTCTGCTGCCGCTGATCTGCAGGTCCGATTGGCGGCGGAATCAGATCAGATTCGGACTTTGGAGCCGCGAGTGCGACTTGGTTCTGGGCTGCGGCCCCAAAGTAGGTGCAAAATGCCTTGCGCCTCGGACTCGGGGGAACAGAACCTGGAGGCGATCTCTGCGACGCGGTATTAAATCAATGCCAATCCATAAATGGCCTACGCGGCGCGCGTAGATTGAATTGGAATCTCTTGGCGATTTCATTATTCTGCAATAATATCGCGTAAATCGAGTGAGGGGCTGCGAGATGAGCGTACATTTCTGGTTAATTATGAGGCGGCAGTCACTAACTCTTGGCGGCAGCTGCTGGCTTATAGGGTATCAATTATGGCCTATTACACATTTTTCTACGTTAAACGATATCAATATTAATGATTGTTTCGCTTACGGTTTTATTACGATTGCTTAGGTCAAAGTATTTGTTTCCTTTAATAATAGTATTAATAATTAGAAGATTGATTTCTCATAACATTAGTTAATTTCTAAACATGAATACTTCGTAACAACTTCTTCAATTTTGTAGGTTCCGATATAATTTACCATTTCCATAATTGAAGTTGCTAAAAACTTATTCTTTGGCAATTTTTTAAATTTTAACCAACGGCAGGTACTTTGCTTAATGTCTTCCGCACTTTATGGAAAACCTTGAACTCGTTTATCGAAATGTACTTAAGGTTTTCCCCGTTCATTCCTTTAATCGTTTTTTTTTCAGTCCGCGCAAAAACAGGAGAATTTCATGTTTATTCCGTGATGGCTGCTTGACTCTTGAATTGTGCACGAAGTGGACGTGACAGTGGCAAAGATGATGTCGCTTCAGTGCTACGGTGCTTCAGTTTATGCTCCGCCCACACATCCTGAAGCTTCCTCCATCTCGACCCCCATGTCCTGGTGCAATGGTGGCTCTGCTCCACCTTCTCGTTTTTGCTGCCGACGATGTTTGGTCAATGGTCAATTTGGCAGCCGTTTATTTTGATTGTTGTGCATCCGGGGCAAGGATAACGACGTGCACACGAAATGGACCAGGACAACCCAGACCCCTTTCCCTGGCCTTCCGTTCCTGGCACTCCTTTCCACTCATTTTTTCCCCCTTTTGGCTGCGTTGCAATATTTTTGCCATCGTCACGGAATTCACCGATAACCGAGGCGAAAATGGTGGGGCTTTGCACCGTGGAGCGTTCTCTGTTTGGCATCCTGCGGCGTCATGTCCCGTTCACATATCTCGCAATGATCAGTTTTGCATGTTTTTTGCACCTGCAGGTGTTGTTTCCCATTCATATGGTTTATAGGTCGTATAATCCGCGCCACCAACTTTATCTGCAAAAAGGGGAAATCGAATTTTTGGGCAAAACGGAAGAACTGCAGCGTAATCCTCCCACACTTGTAGTGGGCAATCAAATTAGATTCGTGGGCTTGGAACTATATACACTATTCACAGAGACATTCACTTTATGGGGAGACAACTAATTACGTTGAATAAATTTAAATGGGGTGCGCACCTGACATTTACGACGACACCATAAAAACCTGAGCAGCTACTAGCCGGGGTCAATGAATGAACAAACTGCATTCCACCTATACGTACACAAAAAGAAAATTTTTTAAACAACTGTTTTAGAGAAACAAGAAATTGTGGTTTGGGTTGAACTACATTGGAATTTTAAGTCTAGGTTTAGTATTGATTGTAAGTTAAAAGAATTTGTTATTCACAAGCAAGGGCTTATAATTCCCAACAAAATATTCAGAGTATGATTTGTCTGTAAGACACATCAGAGATCTTTTACAAATAAAGGTATTCAATTTAAAATATTCCCTAATAAATAAAATTGGCTTGGATAAACAATAAAACTTCATTCTTTGAAGCATTACATCGCGTTGTAATTCCCAAACAAATATTCAGAGTAAGAATTGTGAAATCAAAAATCTTTTATCACAAATTTTATTTAATTTTAAATTTTCCCAACTGAAATTCATCAACTCTGTTAGAGTCTTGATATTTTATTATTAATTTTAATCATAAGTTCCTCTGGGCAATTTGACTACTCATTTTTTTCTGTGTGTACTCCCCTGCTCCATGGCCCTTCAAGCTCAAGTGCGTCGCATAATTGTGCTAGGAGGAGGGGTTGCAGACGGAAGCCCAAGCACGGGGTGCGCATCATTAACATTAACCTTCCAACCTTTGGTGCGCTAATGAGACGGCCAGTGTCCAATTTTGACCATTGCACAGCGCATAGGACACGCGCTTAGACTCGGGTTGGCGCCTCATCGCTACATGGCAGTGTAGTCTCCTCATCTCCTCATCGGCAGCTGATTCCCTAACGATTGCGGCTGCTCAGTGGGTTGGAAAACTCTCTGCGCTATTTGTGATTGTCCCGAGCGATCCTATATCCGATTTCCAGCACGCCCCTCTGCTTCGGCTCGCAGCGCAAACAATGCGTGAGGCTCAAGTGGAAGTCTCTTGCGGCGGGGTCCTTAGTTCCTTGGTTTTCGTTTTTTGTCCGAGGCAATGATGGAGGCACCATTTTTGCCAATCCTCAAACAAAGTAAGAGTGCCTCGCGTGTCATTCCATTTCCGCCTGCCTCGAATCGCAAATCAAATACAGCGTACCGAAGGAGCAGCTGCCAGGGATCCTTGCTCCTTGCTCCTTACTTTTGCATACATTGAAAGAAATAACTGATCGAAAAGTAAGAAAGACTGTTCAATAGGTTTTGGGAGAATTTACTTACAGGTAACTGCTGCTACAAGACAATTGTTTAATTTGTTGATCAATTCAACCGTGTTTTTATTGTGTTTTTTAAGATCAATAATTAAAACTGATCATTTAAATGTAGATGGGCTTATCTAAGACCTATACAAACTTGTTTAGGTGATACCATTTTAACATTATTTAAAAATTTATTAAACTACATAACTGCTACTACAAAAGAAATGCAAGATTTATTTTATCATTACTGTGTGCTAAAAGACAATTTAATTAGAAAAGGGAGTTATGGTATTAACATATTAACATTATTTAAAACACAAATATTGCCAATTGTCAATTTAAATTTATAACTACTTAACTAAATTCAAAAACACAAAAAGGGTGCATTAAATTAAGCAGAATTCCTGGTCAGTCTTTATTAATTATCTAAACTCAAAAGTATCGCATTATTTCTCTGCGTGCTCACGCATATCCTTAATCCATACTTGTGTGAAATCGTATATAGCTTTTGATTTGCAGCTCATTCAAAAGCCAACGGGCGACGACTTCATCCATCCATCCATCTCAACTCTCTTGGTACAAAAGACGGCGTCAAAGGCCAAGACAAGTCAAGGTATTCGTACTTTATAGAACACTCGACGATTCTGATTGCGATTGTTGATATGCAATGGAAGTGGCTGTTGGATTCCGCAGCTTGTGTGTGTTTTTATTGTTCTAACGACGGCGGCGGCGGCGGCGGCGGCGGCGGCGGCAAATATACAGGAAACTGCAGAAAGGTGCAAACGAACTTCCGCTCCAAATCAGTTTTCGATTTGCTTTTTCCTTGGCTGCGCTGATGCTGCTTTCCATATCCATTTCAGCTGCTGTTTGCACTTTCCTCGCCTTCTTTTGTTTGGCACGCGCATCGGCAGATGTCACCTAGAATGTGAAAATGAGTTAAATGGGGAAGTTTTCTGGTTTTTTATTTTAGCATACTCCTACACACGCCTCAATCAATCATCATTCAGTAGCCACTACGGCTGAAAGGCTGATTACCCTGTAATTAGGCAGCAGGATCAACGTAGGACCTGCCAAAAATACGGGAAAAAACAAAGAAAAAACAGGCAAATGTGAATTTAATGAGTAAAAATGTGATAATTAGCTGGGACCCCCGAGAAGGCCGACAAAAGGCCAGAAAAAGAGGGCGTGCATGTGAGCCCAGAGCCCATCCCGCATCCTTTCATCTGCGGGCTAATTACAGGACCAAGTCATTTGGCCAGCCAGACAAGTGCATCCGTTTGGCTGTAATTGCCGTGTTTGTTTAAGATTCAGCCCATGTTCGGTTCGAGCTACTCCACCTGCAGCGATTCCCAAGCAACGCAAATTGAATTAGGCCTTGGCATAATATTGTCATTCAATTAGATGATCTGGCCGGGGTCAGGTGGTTTTCCTCGGCTCCAAGGTGTTTCGTCCGTGCAAACATCAACATTTCCAGAGTGCCAGAGACTTTCGACCTGCTCCTGGGCATGCTAAATATGACATTTAATAAGCTGCCAAAGAAAATCAAAGTAATTGAGTGGCAAGGCAAATTGTACATTTACGGTTAATTGAGAAATGTTATTGTTGGCTTAGCTTTTATAAACATTAGTAATTGTATCTCCTTAAATTAAAGAAAATATTTACCGTGCACTAATAAGTAAAGAAAATGTTGTTAATCAAAGAGCTTTGTATTTCATTTAAATATATTTCGTTATGATTTTCATTGAAGTTTTTAGTTACTTTAAATTGATTTTATAGTTATTTTAAATATGGAGACGTTAAATTTTGTACAATATTTAGTTTGACTATTTTTATTAGATTTTAATATCGGAAATATTTAGTTTAAATTTAAACCATAATCAACTTAAACATAATGCATATAGAACAATTAAGACCAATCTTAAAACCATTATTTTCCAAATTATTTCAAATATTTGAATATTAACTCAATCAATTTAATATGCAATGTACCTAATATTATGATTTATATATTTACATATAATTACATTATTATTACTTATCCATTTTTCTATCAGCATGCGCTTTAATTTAATTTTCTATTACTCGCTTGCTCTTTTTAAATATTTTATATTATTGTCATGATAATGCTGTGTTCTGTGTGCTAATGGTGTAAAGCATTCGCCTTTGTCCTTTAATTAGAGAAGTACAGAAGTACAGAAGTACAAGTACAGAACAATGTTAATCAAATAGCTCATTTAATAAGCTGCAAACCATGATGACCACGTTTTACATTTTACATGGTGACCCGGAAATAAAGCCATTGGGCATGCACCATGCACGACCTTCTCATCCTCCAGCTCCTTTTTGTCCGGCCAGTTTATAAATATTGCTCAACTGTTTGGAATAAAAATGTCAACACGACGGCCGAGGCCGTACGCAATGCATAATAGAGAGGGCACACAATACCTCCGAACCTCCGAACCACCGATCCTGTGGACCGCCAGTCATCCTGCCACCGGAGCAACCGCCGGAGGAGATGTCCTTTTTTGCGCATAGCCACAGGCCGGCAACAAAAAATACGGAAAATACATATCGCCGTGTTTGTGTGTTTCTGCTGCAACGGACGCAATTCAAAGGAATTGTGTGTGCTACCCAGTACGCCGCCAACGTTGTCCTGTTGTCCTTTTCCCTCACCTCTCACTCCTCGCTCCCGTCTGCCGTTTGACCATGTCCGCTGACCTCATCCCAAGCGTTAAATATTTTGCGTCAATTTGCCGCCCAGTCCGGCAAAAGGTGAATGAAGCGAGGATACAGCAAAGGACATAATAATAGCCAAACATTAAGAGCAAAAAGGATATTTAAGCTTTAAAATTATTTAATTATAATGTTATAATAGTTACTAAATACTTATAAAAGAGCAAGCAATATTAGAAAGAATTGAACACTACATTTTAGAGCTCAATGAACTTTTTCTTTCATAAACAGAGTTAAATTCTTTAGCTTTGATTTACAATATTGATAATTAAAACACAAACAGAAACTTTAGCCAAGGCAATCAATTGAAAACGATCAAACCTAATGTCGCCCTTTATTTTCGCTTAAAGCCAAAACGAAATTATTAATTAATTAAAAAAAATTAATTATTTTTTAATCATTTATAAATTTCCGTATTTTACTTTTTTTCGTATATTAAGTGGTGTTTTAACAAATATTTTTTTAAAAAGTGTTTTAAGGACTACCAAAATGTTCCCTATTTTTCCGCTCGGTACTGTAACGTATACTTTTTAACACCGTTAAATGACAGGGAAGTCGCCTACCTGGTGACGTCATGTGGCGAGAAGGACTCCTTTTCCCTGCGTCCAGGATAATGACATTATCAGCCGCAGCAGCCTGCGTCCGCCAAACAAACGATAAGCAATTATTTGTTGGGAATACAATTTTCCCCTATTGGCCCTGTTGGCACTTTGTTGTGATCGCTTGATCTTGCCGAAAAATGCGATTTGTCACCCGGCCACAATGCGTGTGGGTGTTCCCATTGTCGACAACACGGTTTCTCAGCGCCTTTGTCTGCAAATCGTAACAATTTAATACCCAGAAAATTGGCCCAAATCGGAAAGTCGGATATAAAATCTGATTATTTTTGATGTTGGCGGTTCGAGATCAGCTGGGCATTGTGCAACATTGTTTTGCACCACCGTTTTGCAGCACTGACCCGCGCGGAATGAGAGTGGAAAGCGTAAAGCGGGAAAAGTCATTTACGCACGAGAAAGTTGTAAAATCAGTGTTATGTGTTAACTGTGTTTAATTAATAATCGTAATGGCTAATTGACAAGGAATTAAAACACTCAATCAGGCAAACAGTGATTTCACCGCGTAAGTTGTTGACTGATGCGAAATTAAAGGAAGTTAAGTTTACTATGTGAATGCATTTACCGTATGAAAAAGCACCCACATGCACTTTAAATATTTTAGGTAACATATTTTAAACTGAAATGTGGGAATTTATCAGTTTATTATGCTCTTAAATCAAATTTAAACGGGATAAAAAGCAATTTTAATCTAAGCACACCGACACCGACTATAAAACTGAAACTGCAAAATACCCCTTCTAGTGCGTGGGAGCGAGATAGTAGGAGCCACAGCTTCCAGTCGTCAAGAGGAAATTTATCAATTAAAAAAAAATTTGATAATTACTGCCATTAAAACACAACCAGACTAGCGCTGATTAACTAAAAGCTGTATAAATTCCCCCTCACCCAAACAGGCGGAAGTTACTATTTTGTGCCCTAAGGCCGCCGTGGCAAGCTTAATTTGTGGCCTTTTTCTTTCGCAATCTTAATCGGGCATTTTAATTGCGTGTAGGCTTCATTTGGATGCCGTCCCCACTTTTAATTAAACACAATACACATTTTCCGCTTTTTGCGGATTTTTGCCCGCTTTGTGGTTGTTTTAATGGCCGTCATCGGGGCATCTCTGCTAACATCTTAATAACATAATAAACATAATTTAGTTGGGCCAGTCACACGCATTAATGTTTTGTTCATAATTTTATGGCTCGTTTAGTTTTTTGGGGGGTAAAAGATACACGACAATCCGCAACAACAACATCAGCAAATTGCGAGTGGGGCAGCAGTAGCCATGTGGAGTGTTCCAGCTTGTGTCCTTGTTTCTCTTACGAGCTACATATTTCATCCTGTATTAACCCTCTACTGGGCGACGGGGGGTTACAATACCACGGTGACGGTGAAGCACTCCTCCGGACTCACTAGAAACTCGTGCTTACGGGTTTTGACGCGCAGAAAGCAAAGCTTATCATCGGGATCCAAATCACGGACGCAGCTCTGGGCCAACTTCAGGAAACTGGTGTGCAGGTGCTTCACAATCCCCTGGGCCGTAGTCAGATCGAAGGATGTGTGCAGCAGACTATCCATAGCATTCTCCGATACCACGAATCCCTGCGCCTGTTCCGTGATCCTGTTCGTGTTGTCCGTGTTGCGCTGCACCACCTCCTCCATCGCCTTTAGATAAATTTTCGACATTTTGAAAAGAGCTGGAAAACTAAAAAATTTGTTTAGTAAAAATTGTTTTTTAGGTATGAGTATGATCCGTATTCTAATGTGACTGTCAAGAGACTGAAGTTCTATAGGGTCTCCAGTGCTATATTCATGAATTTAGGGCACTAGCTTACTGGGATTGTAGGTATATTTGATTGCAATTTGTACCCTTCCTGAAAAGTCCAAGTAACACATTTCAAAAAAAAAAAAAAAAGTAATAGTATCCTAAAGTCTTTGATTTTAAGTTTTTTTTATATTTAAAAGACCCTAAAAATGATCATTTTACCCTTGCTGTGAATTTCTATAACTGGAAAGAAACTTTTAATTAAAGGACTTGCTCTATTAATATTTTTAACATGTAATTAATTGAGATTTCTTGATTAATGAGTCTTTAAAACTTAATTTCAGATGAGCGGCAAGCGGACACGTAGCTTCAAATGTGCCGTACACCATCGAGATCGTGAAGTCTGCTCTGAGAACGATTTCCAGCTAGTGCTCAACGAACCGCCACTCTTCCGAAAAATGGTGCATGCTGTGGCCATGGAGATCCTGCCCGAGGAGCGGGATCGCAAATATTACGCCGATCGATACACCTGCTGTCCGCCGCCATTTTTCATTATCCTGGTCACTGTAGTAGAGGTGGGTTAATGGATTGGTCCCCCCTTGATTAAACCTTAATTTCACATTATTTTTTTGAACAGCTCGGCTTTTTTATATATCACTCTGTTGTAACGGGTGAGGCTGCTCCAAGGGGACCTATACCCTCGGACTCCATGTTTATCTACCGACCGGATAAGCGGCACGAGATCTGGCGCTTCCTCTTCTACATGGTCCTTCATGCCGGGTGGCTTCACCTCGGATTCAATGTAGCCGTGCAGCTTGTTTTTGGCCTGCCATTGGAGATGGTCCACGGATCCACAAGGATCGCCTGCATATACTTTTCGGGAGTGTTGGCGGGAAGCTTGGGCACCAGCATCTTTGATCCCGAGGTGTTCCTTGTGGGTGCCAGCGGTGGAGTTTACGCTCTGCTGGCCGCTCATTTGGCGAATGTCCTGCTCAATTATCACCAGATGCGTTACGGAGTCATCAAATTGCTTCACATTCTGGTTTTCGGTAAGTATTTTAAATACTTAAAGTTAATGAAAAAAAATATATCAATGTGAAACCTTTTTACTTACAGTTTCCTTTGATTTTGGCTTTGCTATCTATGCGCGCTATGCCGGCGATGAACTGCAGTTGGGATCTTCGAGCGAATTTGTGGCTCTAGATCAGACTGAAACAGTGGTTGCCGTTTCGTTTGTGGCCCATTTGGCAGGAGCCATAGCTGGCCTAACGATTGGTCTTTTGGTCCTCAAGAGTTTCGAGCAGAAGCTCCACGAGCAGCTCCTCTGGTGGATCGCCTTGGGAACTTACTCAGCGCTGGTGGTCTTTGCCATCGCCTTTAATATTATGAATGGATTTGCCATGTTCAATATTCGCGTGGAAAAGATCCGGGTGACGGAAACGTATTTCAACGATTTCCAGGTGTAAAGTCCCCGGAGGATTTGATTCGTCTTTAATTGATATTTTGCTTAAATTTTGTTCATTGCGTTCGGTTGAAGTTTTTATTGTTTTCGGACGTCAATTAAGTTTCCCGTTTATTGTTTTGTTTGCACTATATCTGAAGAATCAGATATTTATCTCGTATGCTTACTTGTCATTCGACGTAAATTATTTTGTTTTGTTTGCTAGTTAAGTACAAACAATATATCGTAAGAATTGTAAGAGAATATTTACAACAAATCGAACTGATTAGATGTAACATAATGCTCAAGGAATAACACATTTTCTATATATACGTAAGTATAACTGAGGAATCAGAAGACTTTGTTTGAGCTAGGAATAAAACTCCACAATTAAGCTGTAAAATAGAAATAAAATACAATTATATAAATGCTTTAGGGGCTATATGGAAACCGATATTGGCAAACAAATAACTCATTCTAAATTAACAGGCCTTACAACAAATTGAGATAACTACCTCAAGATCACAACTGATAAATAATGTTATATATAGACAAAAAGTTTATAAAATCGGTTTCAATTTGATATAGCCAAGCGTAAATCAGCACTGCCAGCTTTAGGGGATACATTAGAATAAGCACCAACAGAGAAAAGCATAAATTTACATATTTTGTATTTACACAGTTTGTTTTACTTGTAAATAAAAATTCAAATGGAAACTAAAAATAAAGAATTTAAACTTAATCAGAGGTCAAAGTTTTGTGGTGTGGCTACACTGGAAGTCATAATCGAAAGATGCTAAAGGGTTAAAGTTTTAAAGTAGCAAGGCTGCCACCTAGTTTCAAATGATCGCGGGGTGGACACACTGACCGCGATCGCCATTGTATGGCGTCCTTTCATTAGTGCTTCCGTGAAAATTCCTTGAAATTGCCTTAAAAAGTGAGTTATTGTACGATTTAACCGATTCGCGTGCTGGCCGATAAGGCCGGGCCATCCATCCTTATCATTTCCATGAGTTATGACACAATCCGCTGGCAAAAAAACTACAATTTCGCTCGACGCGACACGCGTGCACCTGCGACAATCCTTCGTTCTGGTGTGTAAACTTTGGCTTTTTGCGTTGCGTGTTTTTGGCCAGGACACATTGAGAAAACATCGCGGGACAGCCAGCCGGAGGAGCAGTCAACAAATCCCAATCCCGGCGGACACAGAATTTATGTTTGTTTGAGCACAATTCGCCGTCAAGTCATTCGTCAGTCTTGTCACATTTTTGCGCGGGGGGAGGAAGAGGAAGAAGAAGCAGCACCGGAAAAAATGCGGAAAAACAAATGCAAAATGTGACAGGAACGCAACTGCGTCCTTTTTAGTCCTCCTGTCCACCAGGATCTGCTCCTGTTTCCATTGACGCTGATTAATATGGGGTTGGGCTAATTTGGAACCGGATGGGGATATATACATACGTACAAGAAAAACACCAAAAATGGTATGTACAGCCTTTTTACCTAAAAGACCATAAAAAAAGTTCAGTCATCAAATATATATATTTAAAAATAATAATATAATATTAAAAAATCCATGCTTTGTATGCTTAACTTGAAAAACAATGTCTGTTAAATTCATAATTAACAATAAATATTAAAACATTTTTTAATTTTTATTGACTTTTGTTGATTTAGCAAAGATTTTATGTATTTTAGTTAGGTCTTAATGTTAGAAGATCATAGAAAATAGTGTATTAAAAAATATATATATAGGTTCTTATGCATAAATAGTCGTTTTATTAAAAACAAGACAATTTTTTTTGTATTATATTTAAAATTTCTATAAAATTTATATCAGTTTTATTGTAATTTTCAAAAATTAAAAATAAAAATGAAGAACTTCATTTATAGTCATGCCATTAATGCGATTGCATTCTAAAAAATACTTTAAGATCAGGTTTAATGTCTTGCCTAAGTCAATAGATTTACTTGCTGGACTGCACTCAAATTATTCCTCAGGAATGAAGCCAGTCTGGAGTGGTCTTTAGTGTATAAATCATATCAATCGAAGCCTTCGTTCGCTCGGAATTCAACAAGACCGGGACGGCAATCCGCAGTTTCTGGTGCGCAAAACATGTTTATAAAAAGTACAAGTTAATATTTATGTAATTCCACAGATGCGAACCGGCCAGAGGAACAACAACCAGACGACGGAGGAGATCATTACATTGACATATTCATGCGGAATCAGAATCGGGGAATTCCAGGGAACACACAAACAATGGAGCACGCGACCATGTAGAGTGGAGCGACCCACGCGAGCCGGCAATCAACCTGCAACTTGCAACTTGCAACTTAGCAACCTGCAATATGCCTTTTGTCTTGCGAGGAAAGCTCACACATCTCGCCTCGCACATCGTCCAGTTGTCGTCGCTTTATCCGCAACATGGACATGGGGACTGGGTACTGGATACTGGGATCGTCGGAATGCTTATCAAGAGGCGCACTTGTAGCTGTCATAAGGCCAACTAAAATATTGGCATCCCAAACAGCAACTTCCCTCTTCTTAACTCTTTTCAATGAACTGCACTGGACAAAAAGTCCACTTGAGGTGGAAAGAAAAGGGAAGAGGCACCACCACAGACCAGAACTGCCCCAGGACTTGTCCTCCATCCATTTATCTCACTCGACGCCGGCGACGACAACGGGCAAATATGGAAATTTGTTGGCCTGGCCCGGCATGGTCGCCTTTTTTTGTGAGACGGCGCCCTTACTCCCCCCGCCACAAAGCCGCCACTTAAACCGCTTCATTAAACACTCCATGAACTCCCTGTCCTGGGCCAAGTGTCCTTATGTCCTGGCGGTGTAATTAATTTCTGCCACAGTCGGGTATTTGAAAAAGCTTAGAGATGCGACCGAGGAGCGGGAGGAAACGTTTTCCGTGCCACAGGAGCAATTATAAAAAGCAGTCGAGTGGCGGGGATAATAACACAAGAAGTCGGAGTAAGAATCTAGAACTTCAAAAAGGATTGCAGTAATGAATTCAAAAGAATAAAATTCCATAAATAGCTATAATAATACAAGAGTAGCATAAAATGAGCACGCATAGGGATAAGGCTTACAAAAGCAAGAGAATTTGAAACAAAATGAATTTAATAGATTAAAGCTGCTATAAGAATGTTCTTTAAGAGACATTTATAATTAAGTAATGATATAAATACTGTTACTATATACATATATCCGAAATTTTTTGCTTAAAGCTGCTATAAATCCAAAACACTTTGACATGAAGAAGAATTAATCGAAATTATCGAATTTACAGGATCAATAAACTTTTACGTGCTGCAGAACCAGTAAAAATTAAACAAACTGCTGAAGGATTTTCGAAGGATTGTGGACACCTTTCATACAACGAAAAATCAGGACACAAATCAAACCGGACTGGCCCCAAATCAGAGTGCGGGGTAAGTAAACAAGCAATGTTATAGTTATAGCCGAGCTAATCTGATTTACGGCAAGAAAATGACCAAAAGCCTGTATTGAGTTACCCCAAAAACGAGCCCCACTCTCCCACCTTTTCTGAGTGTGTGTCCTTTATGGGCCTTTTAGGTTAATTGCTTCTGTTGCATTCCCTCCATTAACCATTGGTCACATGAGGTCATTGTGGCTTCATTCTGGGGGAGCACACTTCCTCATCCGGATGTAGAATAGGAAGTCGGGCAGAGGGAAACAGAGACCGGCAAACACCATCAACACACGAACCTAATACACGAAATTAGTTTTCATATATGCAAAACCAAGGGTGACGCTTGGGCTCAGAGCTGTCACCACCCACCTGGAAGCTCCAGGTAGCTCCACCACCCACCTGGTGGACACCAGTGCGTGCTTACCAGCAATTCCGTATTCTTCGTCGTCGTCCTCGTCGTCGTCGTCGTAGTCCTCGTCCTGGCACAGACAACAAAGGATTCCTCTTTGAGGGCAACTGTCAAAGTCGTGGCAGACATTTTCATAATTTTCACATGCTCAGGGAGTTTTTCCCTTTTCCCCAACACCCGGTTCTTGTCCCAGGCGTGCCTCTTAATTGCCCTGAATGGAGCCGGGCAAAGTGGGAACCGTGACGGGAGGCGGGGTAATGCTATTTAGAGCCTGCCACGCCGAGTGTCACCTGCTGGGATTTGTGCGAGTGCCTTGCCACCAAGGTCGCGACAGGACTTTTCACAACATTTTCACTCTGTTGCGACGGCTCCTCATCATAACCTGTTAATAATGCTTAAATAGTTTGGACTGGCTTCATATTTTAGACTTTCATATAAAATTTAAAACTAATTTCTTGAACTATACTTCTCTTTCCACAACTTTGTGGATTTTTTGCATAATCTTGTATTTTATAAAAAACATCGAATAATAATAATAATAATAATATTAAGTTTCTTTTCAATTTGTTGAAATTGCTTAAATAAAGTGGGGTTCTTCAATTATGACTTTAAGTATAATTGGAAATTTATATCCATGACTTTTTTTGAATTTTCGAAGCGAGTGCTGTGGGTCTTTTTAGATCTAATACTGTAAGCTTCAAATTCCCAAACATAAACTTAAAAAATATTTACAGATGTTTGAACAAATAAATTTAAATTATTTATTTTTGTAAAAGTTTTACCTCAGTTTTCCCTTAGTTAACTATTCGAAGCTTTTCAAAATTTGAAACTTTAAACTTTTAAGAATTTTTACACATACGTCAGAAAATGGGGGACGATGTATCGGAATCAGTTCCTGTAAGGCAGGATCAGACTCCCTCCTATGAAAAATCGTATCTTGTGGAGGAGGATCAACCTACTTCTGTAGAGGAAGTAGCTCTTGAGTGGATGAATTTCCCTGTCTCTCAGGAAAAAGCCGCTCCTGAGGATGGCTCTCTAGAGAAAACAGTTCTTGTGGTGGAGGATAACCCAACGACCTCTGAGGAAATAGCCAAGATAGGAGGCCAAGACTTAAAGCAGTTCACCTTCTGTGTGTTTCAAGAAGAATCGCACCTTAAGGTGCTCCAGAGCCTTATAGACGAGGAGCTATCCGAACCGTACTCGATTTACACATATCGCTACTTTGTGTACAACTGGCCAGATCTTTGCTTCTTTGCCATGGAAGGAGATCGCTACGTGGGCGTGATAGTGTGCAAGCTGGAAACGACCATTGGCGGAGTTCTGCAGGGCTATATCGCCATGTTGTCGGTGGATGTGGAGTATAGGAAGCGGGGAATCGGAAGAGCTCTCTCTGAAATGGCCATCGAGGCAATGGCCATGAAGGATGCAGCCATGATTGTCTTGGAAACAGAGTTGACCAACAAACCTGCCTTGGCTCTCTACGAAAGTCTGGGTTTCATTCGGGAGCGTCTGCTTTTGCGTTACTACATGAACGGAGTGGACGCCTTCCGTCTGAAGTTGATGCTGAAAGATTCCGGAGACTTGTCCCTTACCGACGACTAGTAAAGTTAGTGGTAGTTTCTATTTATTAATGAATGCTTCTGATCGGTTTCGAGTTGGCCTTCGTCTCTGATCTTTGCTCCGTTCCCTTCAATTAGCGCCCCAGCGTGCTGCTACTTGGGTAGCCCGAAAAATAAAACTCTGGAGTATAAGGACTCCTCGAATCAGGTAGAAGATGAAACTCCGCCGCCTAATTGAGCCGCAAAACGGTCGATGTCGATGGAAAGTCTGCACAGAGTCATGCCGGGCTGGGTGATCAAACCGATCGACCAAAAGAGGGATAATTGCTTCCCAGGGTCAAAGTCTCGACACATTAAGGAGCACTCGTCGCCTCGATAATGTAGGGTTATGCTTTGATAGGTGGTCCTGCATCGGCATTCTGTTCAGATTCATTCAAACTGATTAAGGGAATCGCAAACTTCTAGTAGAATGGCCCTCAGCAGTTATTTAGAAGGTCGTTTTGGTGGAATAGTTTGTTTTGATGGAGTTTAATTGATAGCTAATATATTTTTCTGGTGGCCTTTATCACTTTTAAGCCACTTTTTAAAAAAATATGTTTTATAGTTATTTATTTAAAAAAGGAAAAAGAGTAAAGCTTATATTTGCATAGTTAATGTTTTAAAATTTGTCTATGGATTGTGAATCTTTAGGTAGGTTTGTTTTTACTAAGTAGTTTTCTATAAAAAAAGAAGTAATATTATAAAGGACTTAAGATTTTAATAGAAAAAATTAAATATAATTCAGCTTTTGGAGTACATTTAATCTTTGAATCGTTAATGATTATGTATGATGTGAAGACTTTTACAGCTTTTCTTAATTGTATTTAATAGTTTCAAAGTGCTATTTATTGACCCGCACAGGAGTTTGTGGAACGGAATAACAAAATTATAACAAGTAGAGAGATAAACACTTGTTTTATGGATCTAACCAAACTTTATCAGGTCATCGCTTCCCCTTAGAGTTTCTTTAGGAACATTGAACCCTTGGAGGTCTTTCTGTCCGCAGATCGTTGATCTGTGATACCCACTCGAAACCGAAACTTGCTAACAGCTTCCTCAGTTGAGTTCTGTATCCGACACTGACTGCGACTTCATTCCATTCCGTGGCAGCTTTTCGCTGTGCCACTTCACCTTTCCGCCAAATGTAAACAAAAACGTCCAAAGTCAACTTTTGGGCAGGTGGCTCCCAGTCGCAGAAGCCGCAGCTTCTGTCCACAGCTCTGTAGCTCTGCAGCTCCAGAGAGCCGAACAGATGACATGCAACGTTGCAACGTTTTGTGGCACAGCATTGCGGTGAGAAGTGGCGAGGAGCGTTGATTGAGTTGCACCTGCCATTCGCAGAAACAAGCTGGACGAAGGAAGGAGTAGAGGGGGGCTGAGCAGGGGCAGCAGTTGGATGCCCGCGTTATTTATGGGGATTTTTCGGCTTCAGAGAAGCCAGCTCTGGATTCCAAGTCGCCGTCGCCGTCGCAGTCGCAAACGCCGTCTGAGCCTGTCTGACCTCGTCCCCGATTGCTGTTGACATTGTGCCTGAATTTCAATTTGATGTCCACGAGGCGGCAGCTCCTGTCTCCCATAAATCTTGCTCCACCAAATGCCTAGACTCTCCGGGTGCGTTTTGGATTGAATTGGATTGGTTTGGCTTTTGCATTGTCTGTATGTTTGTATGTTTGTATGTCTGTAAGTCTCCCGAAGTTGAAGTTGCAAGTGCCGGCGTGTCTACTCCGCCCCCAAATCCGAATTCACTAAGCCTGTGTGCCCCGCTTTGCAGTCACATCTGCTTTATCTCCGGTACATCTTGTCCTCCTGGTAATTGTATAATTTAAGTGGAATTTAATTGGCAGGTGCAATCGGGTGTATCTGATTATGCAAACTAATTAATTGTAATTTGGGGACCCCCAAAACTTGGTCCTTAGCATAAAAATTGTTGTAGCAAAGTGGGGCCTTGAGTTCAAGTTAAAATTCTTGTCTTATTTGCGCGCTGAGAGATGTCATTAATTTGCTGATGTAACCAAGCGTATTTGATTTAGCAACGCTTCTTTGAACATGCATCATTAATAAATGTGTTTTTGAGACTACAGTTTTGACAGTAGTCATAATACCCTGTAGTTATTTATTACTAGAAAGTAAGCATAAACCATAATTTAGTTAAAATGATACACTAATTTAGTATATAAGTTTTACACAGTATACAACCCAATAAAAACAAAACCAGAAAAAAAATAGTAAGAAAACCAATTGACTATATTGTTGGGTTTTTTAGCCGAATAACCAACTAAACAGTCACTTATGATTTTTGCGTATTAATCAAACGTTTTTGATTCAGTAATGATTCTTTGATTATGCGTTATAAGTAAATACGATTGGGAGACAACATTTATGATAGAACAACCCTGCATTTCTTAAGTATAATAATAGAAGATAAGAGTGTTTATTTTGTTCGAACTGTCCTTAAGTAAACTATTATATATATATATACTTTGGATAATAGATACTTTTTAGTCTACAACCCAAACTAAACAGCTTCTCATGATTTTCGATTCGACGAAAGTCTTCCAAGTGGAATGCCTATTTGAAAATTCATGGACTTAAGTCCTGCTAATCCTAATCCGGCAGGATTGAAAACTATGTTGAATGACAATATAAATTATTACGAAATTCCTACGCTACGCCTTCATATTTTATGTGGGCTTTTCAATTTCCAACGGCTCACTCTCATATAGAGCAAATATCGATTGGGGGACGGCAATTTGCACCCTTCGAACAGGAAAATTCGTTGACACAAGTAACTTCTTTGGAGTGGGTATTAATTAAGGATTTGTGCCCCAAGTTTCAGTTGCAGTCTTTCGCTTTGAATTCCAACTCATATTTATGTGGAGCAAATATTGATTGAGTTCCCCCCAAACTCACCATTCGCATGCTTTACCGCCTTGAGTTATTTATGAAGAAAACGAGAATTTCATTTATAATTTAGACATTTATTTTTGTTCAATTTTTCTCTGTTTGTTTAGTTTTGTATAATTTTTTTTCTATTGGGTTTTGTCTTGTCTCGTGCTGAACATTTCCGTTTCTGAGTTTTTTTGGGGGTGGCGTTGTGGTTCCATTATTTGGAAAATTGAATATGCTATCTTGGGGTTTTGGGACGCACTGGGACGTACTATTTTGGCTTACGCTTTGCTGGCTTTTATGCCAGATTAGCTATTTTCATTCTGCGATTACTTTGAATATTTCTCTATTTGCGTACGATGATTTACATTGCTATCTATATATTCGGGCGATTTTGTATTTGTATGTGTATCGGTTAATATGTCAAGTATCTTGATAATCTTCTTGCTCGATTATTTATTGCCCTTAAATTGTGGGCAAAAACCAACAACCAAAAACTGAAAGGAAAAATGAGGGAAATGAAAACGCTTTTGTTGCTTTTGTATTTCTGTTGTATTCTTGAAATGTTTTGATTTTTATTTTCTTTGGCTTTTCGTGTGTATATATTTCAATTGAATATTTTTACAGTTGAATTGGTTGCTTTTGTTTTTTTCTCTCTTGTTGTTTTTTCGTGCTTGTTTTGTGTGAATTTCACTAAATTATTAAATAAATAAATAAATAGTTGGCTCGATTGACAAATTAATAAACTCTCGCTGTCCTTCAATAAATAAATATAATTAGTAATACTTTTGAGTGTCTGTGTGTGTAAGGGGGATTACGATAAATATTTGCTCGATTTTGTAACGCATTAAGTGACTTTAATTTAATTTAATTTGATTTGCCTAATTGATCTGAATTGAATGGTTCTTTGCTGTGGTTTTCCATCGTTCATTTTTGTTGTTGTTGTTTGACTAGTGTGCGACTTAATAGTATTTACAATTTGAAACAATTTGTTAGGGGGCTAGTTATACCTAGATAAGTATATGTATATATCGCTAAGACCTACATAGTTCGAGAGCAGATTATGCTTATGGATGTATAAACAATTTGATACAGTTTGCTGATGCCTGATGCTTCGATTCATTCAGAGTAATTGCTGCCAATAAATACATAATTTAAGAAAACAGGCGAAAACCATTAAACGAAAACATGGATAATGGGGTTTAATTTAAATCATAGCGAGAGGCGATTAGTTTAGATCTTAGTTTCTTGATTTCCTCTTGATTTTTACTTTGTTTTTACACGCGAAATAAATTCAGTCTTTGGTTCTATCACAACATTTGTTTACACGTTTCGGCTTCGGTCTATGTTCTTCTTATAATTTTTCTTTTGAGTTTGTGTATGGTGTTTCGGAACTGAAACGGTTAACGGTAACTGCAAACGGTAACGATAACGGTAATGCTAACGAAAAGCAAAAGCCAAACGAATTTCGAATTTAGTTTTGAACTAAATCGTTGAGTGAACTTTTCTTTTCCCATCAACTCTCTGTCTCTCGATCTCTCCTAAAGAAGAAGCTGCATCTGAATCCTCATATTTAGGACACTCCCAGGTCGTGCAACAGATGCTGGGTGATCACCTCGCCCTGCTCCTCCATCAGTTGGGCGGTGACCGTGTTGATCAGGTTGAAAACGATGGCGAAAACGGTGAAGGCACAGTATACGCCCAAAGCCAGCCACCAGATCAACTGCTCGTACTCCCGATGGCCGAAGTTCTTCAGCACCAGGAATCCGATCGTGAGTCCAGCCAGAGCTCCCGTCAGGTGGGCAATGTACGACACCTGGGGACCCTTGGCAAAAGCACCGCCATCGAAGTACTGGGTGTACAGAGCATAGCCCAGATCGCAGGAGACTAAAAATAGAAGAATAAAAAAGGTTCAAGTTAGTTATGTGATTTAGCATAGAGGATTTTTACACATAAAGTTAAAAAATATCCAAACTTTACATTATATAAAAGTTTTACAAAAGTTTTCAGATTAGTTGTGAATTTTTGGTTATCTAAAATTATAATGAGAGATTGAAACTCACCAAAGATGACCACAGATCCTAGTTGCGTAGATGCGCTCTTCATGTGCGCATAGTTCAGTGTGATGTTGGCCAAATGGGCGGCCAAAAGAGCGTAGACGCCACCGCTGGCGCCTACCAGGAACACCTCCGAGTCGACGACACTGGTGCCCAGGGAACCGGCGAACACACCAGCCATGTAGATGACTCCAATCCTGGCCGTGCCGTGCATCACCTCCAGGGGAATGCCGAAGAACAGCTGGATGACGATGTTGAAGCCCAGATGGAACCAGTTGGCGTGCAGGAACATGTAGCTGAAGAAGCGCCACACCTGGAGGCGCCTGTCCGGCCGATAGACCAGCACCGAATCCGAGGGAATCGGAACGGGGAGCCCGAAGTTCTGGGCGGGCATTGTGTAGCGGTCGTAGGCGAAGATGGCAATCTAAAATGAAGAGAATGGGGATTGGGGGTTAGTTTTGGATGCCTTTTGAGGGGGGGGTTCACTCTGATTTATGTTGTTGCTGTCTGGCACGCGACCGCGTCCCAAATAAAGTCTTATGAAAATGCTTAGGGCGAGTCCTGCCAACTTGGCAGGGCTTCAAAAACTAAACTCATACGCCCTGTGGGCCGCCCTGTGAGTTTATTTGATATTCGTGCTAGTTTCTACTCAAGGCAAATCATTTCCACTATGGATGAAAAAGGGCATGTACTTTTAGAGGATGTTATTCCCTTAAAAATATATTAGTTTAGAAATTAAGCCTTAGTTTAAAATACTAAAAAAGACTGATTTTTTCTTATCAATTTTACCCTTAAAATAACTGCGAGTTTTTGGTTTCATATACTTTTTCTGTTCGCTTTTCCTTCACTTGTTTGTTGTTCAACTTGTTTACAATCGATTTTCGGGGGCGCCAACGAGTCAGACGCAGAAAACGAAACATGAACATGAACAGACGGAGGAAAACTCTCGGAAAACTTCCGCCCCAACGTCCCTTTCCGCTTCCCTATATCATTTTTATCGCTCTTGGGATGAAAGTTTGCGGCTTCTTTGATTTAATGGCATGAGTAATTTTGTCTGTGTTCTGTGTGCTTACCTCAATGATGGAGATCACTAGGATGAACCAGGGCCAGTGCTGGCGGTGCACGTACTTCAGCAGGCCCAGATCCTCTGCCTCCGGAAGGGGCGTGGCCGGAATGGCCTCACGTTGCATGTAGATGTGTTCACCTTGGCGGGTGCAGCAGGTGCTGCTCGCCGTGCTGCAGTCCGTGTCATAGGACGATGAGGAGGTTGAGGAACTGGAGGAGCACGCGGTGGGAATGTCAATGATGGTCTCCTTGGTGGAATGCTCTTCCTCCAGCGCCTCCTGCTCCATCTCCTGGCCCAGCTCCACCTTGGTTTCGTTTACATTCTGTGTAGGGTTCTCCATTCTGGCGCCGTTGAAGAAATTCTGGAAGAGACAGCACGCATAAAGTTTGTAATTAATTAACTTGAACCGAACAATAAACAAAAATCAATTAAGTGCATAAATTATTCATAAAACGGAGCACAAAACAAGAGCAATTACAACACTTAAGATTGAGAAACGGGAAATGCAGCAGAATAAAAAAAAAAAAGAAGAAAAGCAGAGAAAAGCAAGAATTTTGTTTATGGCCTGGGACACGGATTCCGAAGCCCCTGCAACTTCCTGGTTTTTCCCCCACGGGGATGAGAAAGGAAAACTGGGTCAGCTGGTAACAACAGCTAACAATAAAATTTGATGGGCCAAGTTTGTGCTATTGCTCCAACTTCGGCGAGGCCCTCTAATATTAGCTAGACAAACTTGAAGATACTTTTTTTTGTGGCATCTCCTCCGCCGTTACATAAACTGCACTTTCAGCCCTGAAATCATCTTCGCTAATGGCCAACTAATCAGCTAATGGTCAGGCATTATTGTAATTCGCTGGCAAGAGACATTTCCTCACAAATTATGTTAATCGCATTCGATTCAATTACAGTCACAGCACAAATCTTCTTAAATTCCTCAAACAATTGTTCGACAACACAAAAAAACGAATTCATTGCCTTGCACAACAAAAAAATTCCAAATAACGCGTTTCTCTCACTCCTACTCGCTGGGTTTTGTATGGCCCCCTCTCTCTCTTTAAGTCGAGTTGTACACACGCACTGTTGTTGTTGTAGTTGTAGTTATGTCTACTACCTACACTGTTCAAAAAAGTGAGTGGGAGCCAAGACGCCTTGGCTCTCCTTGCTTGGTTTTTCTTTGTGTTTATTTTTTTTTTGTTTTCGGTTGCCTAGCAATTTCAATATGGCACGAAATCGCAGTCGACCGCTTATTAATTAATTTATTTATTAACATTAATTGCAGACTGCACTGAATGTCCATGCGAGCATGAACAAAAGAGATGTCGAAAGCGTTCTTAACATAATGAATTAATTCAGAGAGCCCGCCTCTACCGTCTGTTTTTTTTTTGTATTTTTTTTGTTACGGTCAGAAGCATAGTTTCACATGACCCGCGGTGTAATTTGCATTTTTTTTATGCTTTCTGCTGCACTCGCACCCCTAAAAAAACCCCAAAGGGTGCGAGAGAGAGAGGGCAAGTGTAGTAGTAGTAGCAGGCAAGTTGAACAAACTCATTATGCCTCTAAGTTTAAGTGCTTTTGTTTTGCCGCTGTGTGACAATTTCTATTGCAATTTGCACATTTCTTGCATCTCTCTTGCTATATCTCTCGTATTCTCATTAAGGTCGGGGCCTGGGGCTTACCTTAGGTTTTTCTGCCTTTTGCGATATTATATCCGAAATGCGGGGGGTTTTTTTTTTGTAATCCAAATGTCTTTAGTTTATGCCATTCGCTTGGTTTTTCACTTGTATTTTGTGCTCACAACTTTTTTTTCGGGAACTAAGTTTTAGTGCTCATAAATCCAGGAGCTTGATTTTTATTTGTTAGATAGTATTCAGATATTCTTGAGATATATTTTCTGGTTGCACCCACACACACACGCAGCGCACGACAATTTGAATATTTAGTTTCAGTTTGTTTCGAGAGGCGCTGTCTCACTTTCTTCTAAATCGATGAACTCGCGCTCGCGGTTCGCACGTAAATGAGTTTCGAAGGCAACGCAGCCGGCCTTATAAGTGCTCGATGGCCAGTGGTGGGTTTTCGAAGAGAGCGAACGCTTGCAACTCGAACATGTTGTGTTTTCGTTCGTGCGTATAAGAGTGGCAGCATATTCTCCGCTCTTGTGTGGGTGCACTGCAGTTATTCGCCTGCAGCAGCTCGAAGCGAGCGGTTCGATGGATCGACGCTTGGCTATTTGCCGGTTTCCCCATCCACCGGTTACCCCATAACGGTTAATGACTCATCCAGACGCGTTATGGCTTATTACCAATGCCAACTGACAAACTGACTAATAAATGCGTCGTCTTCAGCGATCTGCGCTTTGTCATGACTTACTACGCCGATCTTCTAATCTTGGCCGAATTGCGAAATTCCAGCAAGGTTATTACGACAGAAAGTTGTGAAATTCGTTTTTCATTGATTAAGATCTCAAAATATTAAATCTGGTTTTTGTACTGAATATTTAATTAATCTTTACATTCCTCCATTTATTGGATAGAAAGTTTATGGAGTTATAAAAACTAAAAAGAAGCGTTGTGAAATGCAATTACCTTATTATGTCGTTTTCTATCTTGAATAAGAGCACGAAATTGTAAATCATATTTTTTAAACAAGGCAACATCTTCAGATTCTTTAATTTATTAGGTAGAAATTACGGAATTCATTTAATAAAAATGAGTTCTAAAAATGAATTACGAAATTACAATATTAAATCCTGCTCATGAAATTAATGAACTTAAACGTTAAGCAATATTGTGAAATTAATCCAAGGCAATTACGAAAGTGGTTTGATTTGGATTTAACTACAAAATAAAGTGGAACCTGCTAAATGCTTAATGCTTAATATTGAGCTTGTTCCAAAATGACCGCAATTCATGCCTTTCGACAAAGAAGCTATAGAAGCTCTACACATTTGTACTAAAATTAAAGATGATTAAATCCTGATTAAAAGACGATTTATCTGTGACCACAGAGGCTGAAAACAGCAGAAATTAAATTAATGACTTTTCAGTGCAAGCAAAACCAATCTAAATGAAATTGGTATTTGCTCCACAGCTGTTCTTCAGCCTAAGTATGTAATTGCTCAATAATACATTGACACTAAAATGAAATGTGCTTTGATGATTTTTTTAGGAGCTATTATTAAAAAAAAAAAAATCATTTTGCAATTGTCTATAAGCTAGTTTTTTAAATCTTTAAAATATTTTTGAATATCTGGCAATAACCTTTAGTAGTTAAATTTAATAATTAAGTCATTGCATTATTTATTCGATTGTTTTGTTTTGGGGAATCTCGTGGAACGTGCCACGGCAGGTGAGCTGAAATGCAAATCAAAATTCAGCTCAGTAATGCAGAACATGTCCCGGATTCAGATTCAGATTCGAATTCGAAACCGAACCCCTACTGATTACCTCCTGATTCTCCGATTCCCGGTAAGAGATCATTGCCAGGGGGTTTTAAATTTCACACCTTTTTCCACCGAGGAGGGAGCTGAGGCTGAAGGCGTTGAACAGATAGAAATCGGTAGCAAAAATAAATATTTATACAAATTATTAGGCAGCCTTAAGCCGTTGCAGTCACGAGTTCGCGGGAAAGGTCACGTTATGTTGCACAAAAGGAGTAGCTTTGGCTTCCTGGCCGAAAAAGGATCAGCCGTTGGTTACGTGTTTTGCATGATAAGCTGGGAATTTACACAGATCTGTTGATCTGATAGATAAGACAAACACCCAGCCAGCTAAACACACACAAACAGCCTCGATTATGTACGAGTATATCCTGGCCAGTCATCATCGGACCAAGAAGAACTCCCGCATGAAAAGTGAAAATATGCTCACAGGGTGGGAAAGAGAGATGCCTGAGATTTATGATGACTTTTTAACATGTGCGTGCAACAGGTAAGCAGATACAAAAACACAGTTGCATTACATGGCCATGACCAAGGCACGTCATCAGCTCTCAGTTCAGCTTCAGCTCCGGCTTCATCTTCATCGCAAATCCTTTTTTCCCACGTTCCCTCAGGTCGAGTTTCTACTCCATCCATTGCTGGATTTTCATTGTGCCAGACACGCATCGCAACACTCCATGGACCCAATGCTACTCTGGCAAGGTCACCCACCCACCCAAAACAACCAAACACACACAGGTAACTGTGGGCTGTGTGGACCGTGTGGGCGTGGGTGGGCTTTTCCCACGCAGGACGTTGATTCCTGGCCCGCACGCGGGAATTTCCTCCAACATGTGCGGCACATATGTGAGTGCCTCATGGGCCGGGAATCAGGAAATTCCGTCCGCCACTTGCCACTTCCCACCGCACACAGCAAGGTGTCCTTTTTCCGCTTCCCAGAGTTTCGCGTTGCGACTTTTTGTTCGCCGCGCACTTGTTGTCTCCGCAAGTTCCGCCAAATGTTTCGCGATGTGTGTTTTTCCCAGCGCATATTTGTCCTGCCCAAGGATCTAAGGACTAATCATCGTCCAGGGGCGCGTCTTTCAAGCAGCTTCTCAGAAGGCAGATGCAAAAGGAGGAGGATGCGATCTGGTTGAATGCCTAAATCTTTAAAACGACTCACTTTAATTTCTAAAGTACGTTTTCAGCCCTCATATATGTTAGAAAGTTAAATTTATTGCATTGTAAAAACGTGGCTTAAACTTCAAATTATGTAACTTTAATTGAAATAAATTTAAATAATAAAAATTATTGTTATATCGTTAGGAAGTAACAAAGCAAACTAAATAAATATTTTATTTGACGTATCTATAAAATAATTGAATTTGATTTTTAATCCTTAAATTGAAATTTTAAAATTCTTCAAAATTTCCTTATGAATAATTTTGTTTGAAAGGGCATTTTATAAATCCTAAAATTGAATTTGTTGTTCCTTATATTTCATTATAAAGAAATTTGTTTTAAAAAGTCTGTTAAATAATATAAATCCTTAAACAAATTGAATATTTTTGGGAAAACAAGTAGAGAAACACCGGAACTGAACTGGGTGTCAGAGAAACCCAGCGAAATGCAAATTTATTTAGAACGATAAAGTGGAAGCGAAACTTGACGGGCCAATTGAGTATGGCAATGGGAACGGAATTGAAAAATTGATTGAGAATGAAGGCCAATAATAATGGACAAGTAATGAGACTGTCCGCAACAGCCAACGGATCGTGGGAGGCTAACAAAAGGAGCAAACTGCCCAAGAAGGCCAAGAAGCCAAGGCATGCTCGAAATTTATCTATTGGATTAAGGTCTCTTTTGTGGACGTCATTATGGCCAATGCCAAAGACAAATTGGAAATTTATTGTTATTGGCGGGCGGAAGGAAGGAAGCGTAGCGTAGCATAGCAAGGATAACAGACCAGCGAATATGCATAATAAAAATGTCAATCAATGAACTGCAACGACCCGAAAGGAGTCCTCTCTGCCCGGGTCAGTAGTGCTGGGCACGATAATTGAACATAAACATTGCATTCAAGTAGTAATTGTTGAAATTATTGTGCATCCTAATCCCGAACGAACGAACCAAAACCAAGACCAAGACCAAAGCCGAAACGAACGCTGGACAACGAGGCATTGGGTCTCTGTGGTCAATGCAGCAGCAAAACACCAGTGTTCCAGCACCGAAAATAAGCATTTAGTCCAAAAAACCCAGGCCGAGTTAAAAAGGACATTTGTATGTATTCCGGTGCCCTTTTGGAATGGTTCCCAGGACATCTCTGCCGCACACTGCCATTTCTGGCAGCCAAAAGGAGCCAGCAGCAAAGACAAACACAAATGTTGATGCCCGCATTTCTCCCAGGCGCTGAGACAAAAGAAGGCCAAAAAAGGAGCAGGGTAAACAACAATTCCAATGGCCAAATCCAAATTGGCTCTGACTTGGAGTAAGTCATCAGATTGAATAAATAAATAGAGCTTGCTTTGGATAAGAATAGCAGATAATGGCCAAGAAAGAGGTCTTCAATACACACAAAATATAATGGATACGTGAACAAGCCTTTTAAGTAAAGTGATGGGAATATATTGATACTTAAAATCAATCGCAATTTGCAATGTCTTAGATTTTATGTTGAAAACATTGTAGTATTTTAAAACCTAGCTACTTAAAGATGAAATCATAAATTAACTTGCTTTAGACATAAACTTCAATTAGTTCAAATACATTTGCAAGAAGCACCAAACTTGTTGAAAAGAAAGTTAACCAATTTAAACCCTTCATATAAATCGCAACGTCCACACTTAAGCTGCCTCCCATTTGGATTTAATTTGAGTGTTCTGAACTGAACTCCGAAATTGGCAAGCGCCATAGAACAAACAAAAAAAAAAAAAAAATAGAGGGGGAATAAAAACCGCATTCGGTTGAACTCTTTATTTTCTTCTCACCAACCATGTTAAACCTAAGCCCCACTCACAGTCGTTGAAGCACTTGACCACTGGACTCTCGCGAAACTCGTGGCGCTAATCAGTTTAAAGGGCGCTTGTCCACTCTGGCAATGCTTTGGTTTTAATTACGCGGCAAAAGTTGGACCGCATTCGCATCCGCATCCGCATCATCCACAACTTCATCCCCTCATTCCCGTTGCCACCTCATCGCCAACTTTGCAATCTGGCATTTTTTTGCTGCAGCATCTCTCGCTGGGATTCCCAGTTAGTTAAAGTGCTGGCAACACATTAAAACTGCAATTCATCCGCAGCCGCAGAGGCCACACATGGCAGGATTGGGGATGGCGAGGGGATGGGGATTAGGATGGCGAACTCGAGGACGGACTACAGCTCAGCTCAGCGGGGGCTTGCAGCACTAATGAACATTTTATTACAAAAGTTTGCACTGGATGAGGAGCGAAAACTTCTGTGCAAGTTGCACATCTTTTTTATAGCATCCCGGGCAGAAGTTTGCCCAATTTGAAATATTATTATGCCAAGTGGCCAACTGGAGTTCGTAGGCCAAGCCAACGCCATCCACCAGGCATCGCAATGCACTT